ATACAACGAAGTTATTGGAGACTGAACAGCGCTCTTTGTGCCCATGCAGGAACAGGCCGCCTGGGTGAGTCAGTGTGCCCCGGCTGTGGTTCAGAGATTGGAGAGCGACTTCAAGGCCGCCCTGCAGCAGCAGAGCTCGCTGGAGCAGTGGGCCAGCTGGCTGCAGCTCGTGGTCGAGTCGGCCATGGAGGAGTACACGGGCAAGCCGACATATGCGCGGGCCGCCCGCCAGTTCCTGCTCAAGTGGAGCTTCTACAGCTCGATGATCATCCGGGACTTGACGCTGCGCTCGGCCTCGAGCTTCGGCAGCTTCCACCTGATAAGACTTCTGTTTGACGAGTACATGTTCTATCTGGTGGAGCACAAGATAGCCGAGGCGCAGCAGAAGACGGCCATAGCGGTCATATGCGAACGCATGGTAAGATTCCTTGGAATTGTACCTAAAGCCCTCTTGATTCGCTAACAATCCCAATGTTCCCCAGAAGAAAGAGATGGACTTTGAATTCGAGTGCCAGTTCGCGTACATCACCAGCGAAACGGAGCAGCAGAATACCCCCAGCTCGGTCAGCGGCGGGGATGTTGGCAACGAGGCGAAGCGACTGAAGCAGGAATGAGTTGCTATGCAAGCGGAAGCGGAAGCGGAAGCAGTGAAACTAGTATTCATAGTAGCCGAGTTTATGTAATCCGTAATTGTTATCCCGATCAGTGTGCACCTGTCCCCATGTCCCCATGTCACCCTGTCACCCATATTCAGCTCTGCATTTAATAGTCAAACCGTGTGTTGTACGTATCCGTGTGTTAGTTTGTAGTCCTAAGTTCCCAGACCCTAAGCGTAGTCAGTCGATCAGTTTTAGTAGTAACATTTTAGGCAGACTCAAAGGACTCATAGCTCATGCAGAGGCAACGCTAGCGCTGGCCGATGAGTGTGAGTTTGTATGAGTGAGCATTGCCCCCACATTGAAGTGAAGAGCCGTCCAGCAGGCAGGAGGCAACAGCAGGCGGCAGCAAGGCGCAAGCCGCAAGCAACGTCTGGCCTTGCCTGCCCGATCAACTGATCCGATCTGATCTCTGATCGATCCGTGTATTCATAAGATACATTTTAGTTTAAGTACATGTGCATTAATATCTGTAATTTACGTCTAATTGTCTACTGTCTACGTCTATGATAATGTTAGTTCCCCTTGTTTGTTTAAGAGAGAGCGGAGAATGCATCAGTTTTGTCTGGTTTCAACTATCTTGTATCTTGTATGTCACAGCGCACAGCGCACGGCGCACACTCGCACACGTAGATACACAGATCACAAACAACCACATACACATGGAGCACCCACGCACACTGAAAGCGAAAGCGACAGCGAAAGCTAGAGTTCGATTTTATAGATTTTAGTGAAACAGCTTGCTCAACGAATTAACAAAGTATCGGTATATCCAGCTCAAACCTAAGCTAAGTGAACAACAGGCCTTAAATGTGCAAAGATCAACACTCAATTTTGAAACAATACAATTTACCATATACCTTATACCTTATACTCTATATGTATATGTTTATCTATATCTATATAGTATACAATGTATAGACTAAGAAACATGAATGTAATATGTATATTTTAACTACAAGTGGATGCTCTGGGGGAGCAGCATACAATATATTTTAACAGAGGCGCTTTTCAAAGTATTTGATGCCATTTTATGTGTACGAGTACAAGATGCAAACGAACCAAAATACGATTTGCTTTGCACATCGAGTAACTAAGCGGATGCCTTCGTGCTCCATCCAACTGTCTAGTCCTAAAGCACACATCTGACATTATCTCTGCCTGGCACAAAAAAGAACGAACCAAATACCAACCACATACATATGTACATATTCGGCTCTTGACGAATCTGTCCGGTCTGGCAGGCGAATGGACGGCGACGGGCACAGTACACGTGCAAAAGCATGATATCAACACAGAGTTCCTCTCGCACGATTGTCCACTGTCCCGTCCACGCCTGCCACTCTGCCCAGGCAGCGAAGCTCAATTACGATCTGCTCAAAATGCAAATTGCTCAGCTAATACCTAAGTTTTATTGGTTGTTGAAGGAAAACAAATAACAAACTTTTGAAATGTCAAAACTATTTATATATGTGAAATAAAAATTGTCCTCAAAAAATAACCGAAACCGAAACCGAAACATGTCCTTCACCTGTAATCAGTACTTATTGGAGGGTATAAACACGCTTCATACTTGTGTAGATATCTTCGATCTGTGCGACCGTAAAGTGTCTACCCTTGATGGAATTGGGAGAAGTGTATCGATGATATTTTTATTCAGCAAGCTTCAATAGCTTCATAGGATCCAGCTTCAATAGCTCCATACCTTATTGACACCTTCGACGCTTTAGATTCTGGAAAAGGGCCCGCAGAAAACCGATCCCTCGTACCTCACCAATTAGAAGTGGGATGTACTCGTTTTGTTAGTTTATTTATTTATTTCTGTTATAATGTTTGTTATTTCTCCTCAAGCCCAGAGTTTTTCTTTTTTCTTCTCTCAATTTCTTGTATGTATGTGTAAATGTAGCGCAGCACCCAACTTAATCTAACCACAAATGGGCTGCGTGGAGCTGTTTCGGAACTAATCGGACCTCAGCCCGAATAGGCAAAAGGCACACCCTCCGCCGACCTGCAGGGGAATCGAATAAGTGTTGTAATAAATGGATAAATGGGTTTTTTACGTCTACCTTGTTTCCCCACATGCCGGGCAGTGTCTTCATAACTTCAGCACTCTCCTTGAGCGACTCCTTGCACACCTTGCATTTCGGATCGTCATCTTCCTGCAACTCCTGAATCTTGCGGGCCGGTGGCAAACCAATGCCCAGGTTCGAGGAGTCTGGCACGTCCATATTGATGCCGCTATTTTTCGCCACCAGGTCGGCCTTCTCGACGATTTTCTTAATGTTGTCGGACATAATGCAAATCTTTTAAATCTCTTGCAAGTTTTTTTTCGGAAACCAAAACTGAAAACGTTTACGTTCGGAACAACTCCAAAATGAAAATGATTTTAGTAAAGGAAGCTAACAATTTGACAGGAAGCTAGTAGATGAGTTTTGGGGAATTCAACTTGAAAAGTCAGTGTTGAAAAACACCGTCCAAGCATAAATATTTCACACAGCTGTCTTTTCATCAAAAGTACGATTCGTTTAATGAAAACACTGAAATCAGCAGGCTTTGCGAAAGGGAAAATTAAAGAATTGAAAAGAATTAACTTAAAGCAATCATACCCTAGTGCGTAAGTTTTTAGAGTGATATAAGTTAAACCATACATAATAATATGGAGAAACTAGTTCCCTATTGAACATTGAACCATTTTGAGAATTGGGTTCTATAGTCGATATTTTCAATGAATTTCCAATGGGTATTCTTTAGAGGCAGCCTCCCATGACCTATAAGAAAATAGCAGTGAATATTGATATCACTTTGCCCGTGTATTGTGGCACAGATTGACAAAATAAATGTTTTCTCTCAGTTGTAACGAAATATGGTATAGCATTCCTGTTCTAGAACCGATCGGCTGACATTTTTATAGTTTACAAATCGAATCAATCCAAACTGATCCAAATCGTAACAAAAGTTAGCTAAGAGAGTTGCTAACAGAATACATATATTGTCGTGGGTTGCACGATAAATAAATATTTTTCCTCTCACTGGAACTTTTTTTGATCTTTGAGAACTTACCAATCCATTCATTTTCAGAAAAATTTACTAAAACTACCCTGGAATAAAGTTTTACCCACGTTTTATTCTTTTAATTTGTAGATATTTTTTTTATTTTTATTGAATTTTTTTTGGTTTAAATTTTTCAGTATCAACTCTATACAAAAATTGTTCACTCTTAGCTTAGGCATTTACATAGGTTTCCATCTGTATCGGGTATGGATATGGGTATCGGGTATGGATATTGGTATTGGTATCGGTATCGGTATAATTTGTTAAATGCTACTTAGGTGCTAGTATTACAACGAAAAAAAGTGTATGAATGTTGTTGTATTGATTACGCTTGTGGAATAGTTGAATGCAAAAGTTGAGAAAACAAAAAAAAAAAACAAAAATGCTTTATATTCAAGTGAGCAAAATGCCAGTCATGAGCAACAGGCCTTGTAAATCGTTAATCGGCTCTTTGTACTATTTTAAATCTGAGGCTTGATCATGTTCGCTTCAAGTCTTATTGGTTTGCGGATCCTGTGTCGTTTCATTTGGAATACGGGTTGTTTCACTTACGATTAGCTACATATAGTATACAATAGTTTATTTTTTCATCTTAAGGCTATTCTTAAATTCCTAAATTGTGTGAAAACTATTTACATTATTATTCGTAAAAATAATTGACTGTTCTTTCCAGCAATAATGTAGATTCTATTCTCGTTTCATATATAGTACAAATACATACAAAAGTTCTATAAAAAATCCGCATGCGAATACTGGACCGGCAAGTTGTTTATGTGTGTGTGTTTGTGGTGTGTTTAGTTTTTTTTACAACATTACCTAACTTAAAGTTGGAATTCGGATTCGGAATCGGCTGAAAAATGCTTGCAAATGCTGCAAATTGTCACATTTCGGGTACAAAAGATTAACAAAAGGTGGAAAAGCGAACATAATGTTCCCATTTCGTTGTCCAAAAATCGTTGTTGTTTTTGTTTTTGTGTTTTTGTGTTGTTGTGTTGCACATTGTCAATAATCTATAATCTATATAATAACTGCGTCAAGTTTCGTTAAGTTTAATGGAGTATGAAATCTTCACGTTTGTCAGGGTGTTTGTGATCAACGGGGGTCAAGGGAGATCAAATTATTCAAGATTGGAAAAGAATTAACATTACAAATAGCTTTATGCATCGTCAGGGGGTCAGGGTCAGGACTAACTACTGAGACTTTCACTTGGTTGAGAGTTTCTTTCTACTACTCAAGCGTCACGGCAGAGACTCAAGACAGAGTTGCGATTGGGGCAAAACTTTCGAGCAAACCTTTACAATTATTGGCATAGATTTATTCGAAAATCGACCACAGATTAATAAGGACTACAAAAAGATTCAAAGTAAGCTTAACTGGAGAGAAATTAGATCTCCAAAGTAATAAAATGTATAATTTCTGATTTTCAATCAGTTTAGATGGGTATTGGGCACGGGTACAACTGACAAATGATTACCGAAAATGTTCTTAGGGATACGTTTAAGCGTAGCAAGGGGGCTTCTTTCCTATACTATGTAGCGTGGGCCTAGCACTAAGTGTATGCTATTTAATTTATGCGCGTGTGTGTGAAACATCCATGGCTACTACTATGGTACTGCATGGTGTGTGGTTTGTGCAAATCGAAAGAGAGCGGGGCGGCTTGGCCTTTGCCCCTTTAAATGATGCGGTTGACCAGCGGCATCTTGCGGCGATTGTATGTGGTCGGCTGTGGCTGCGCCTGTGTCTGCACCAGCTGCTGCACCTTCACCTTCTGGCCATACTGCTGCTCCAGCTCGCCGGCGGGGCCGATGGCATAGTTAATGTCCAGACGCGCACGCTTCGCCTGCTGCTGCTGCTGATGGTGGTAGCCGTTGTGGTTCGCATTCAGATCGGCCGGATTCAGCTCGATGATGTGTGTGCCTTGGCCGCTGGCTATGGTGCGGCGCACTGCCTCCTTATCGTCCACGATGTCGATGGCATCGTACAGTTGTTCGTCGACCTGGAAGATTGGGAACGAAAGCGTTAGCAAAGGGCTGTTCAGAGTGGGGATAACAAGGCTAGATACCTTCTCGTATAGCAACGAAGACTTCTCGACCAGGTGCCTTTCCAAACTCACCTCAATGTCAAAGTCGCTGCTCTTCTGGCGGAGCAGGACGTGGTCAAGGGGCAGGTGATGGCTCGACTGGCTGGCAGCGGGGTGGCTGGCGAGTAGCTCTTCCTCGGCCTCGAACTCGCCCAGCATATCGTCGTCCTCATCCTCGTCCACGACATCTTCGTCCTCCTCAACGAGCATCGCATCCACAAGGGTGTCGTCGAAGTCCTGCTCCTCCAGATCGGAGGACTCTTCGATCTCCGACGTCGAATCGAGCTCCACATCGGAGTCGGCCGATCCGTGCTTCATCTCGCCGCGCTCCAGCGACTCCAGGTGCTCCGGATAGACCATGGCGCAGCGTATGGCCTGTGGATCCTTGCGCGACCACTTCTGCACCTCCTCGTCCATCTTGGTGATGCGCTCCGGGTTCATGGCCCAGCGACAGCCTTTGCGCTGATTGCCGTTCGTGGCCGGGCGCTCGATCTTCTCGAAGCACTTGTTCAGCGACAGATTGTGCCGCACGCTGTTCTTCCAGCCACTCGGCGCATTCTCGAAGTACGGAAAGTGCTGGCACAGGAAACTGTAGATCTCCGAGACGGGCAGCGAGCCGGCCCGCGAGTTCTTCAGGGCCAGCGCGATGAGGCAGGAGTATGAGTAGGCCGGCTTGGGGAAGGCGCTGCCCACGACAGGCAGCTTGACCTTCTGCTGCAGCGGCTTGACGAGACCAGCACTGCCGCTGCTGTTGTTGGCGATGTTGACCAGGTTGCTGCCATTGCTGAGCGGCGAGGAGGAGGCCAGCGACGAGCCGGACGATGGCGAGCCCATGCTCTGCATCTGGTGGTGCGGCGAATGGGCCGACGAGGCGATGCTCTTTGGTGTGGTGCTCCCCTGCTGCAGCAGACCGCGCTTGGAGGCCTCCTCCCGCTTCAGGACCATGCCGTTGCCCGAGCTCGGGGACGAGCCGTTGGGGGATTTGGCCGACGACTGGTGCTTCAGCTTTTGGTAGGCGGCACTGTTGGCGAAGGTCAGGCCCCCGATGCCGGGCGCCAGCTTGATCGTGTTGGTGGAGACGCCTCCGGTGGTGAGCAGGTTGGAGGAGGTCTTTGAGGTCTTGTTGCCGCCCTCCTCAGACGGACTGGACTGCGACTGGGCCCTGCGCAGCTCCGTGCCCAGATCCTTGCGCACCGCATCCACCGCCGAGGAGTTTCGGCGCTGCAGCACCGAGTTGGTGGCCATGGTGGCCGGTGCTGTGCTCCCGGTGCCGGTTACCACCGAAATCTGTTTGGGTATGTGTGCGCTCACTTGCTCTCGGCGCAGCGATCCAGCGCTGACTTTCATCTGGGCCGGCGAGAAGGTCAGATGTGACTTGTGCTGGTCCCGGTCCCCGCATGGCGATGCCGGCACGGCCCGCGACTGTGTGGAAGTGGCTGCCTTGCCCCTGCGCGGCGACCCCAGCATGGAGGAGGCCGAGCAGACAGCGGAGTTGATCAGCGGCATCACCGAAATGGGATTCACGCAGGCCCCCAGATCGGCGTAGTAGTCGGTGTTCGACCAGAAGTTGGCCGAGGAGCCCATCCACTTGGCCGTCGGCGAGGCGTGCAGCGTGCTGCTGGCCAGGAAATTGGCGTTGGCGTTGTATGCCACCGGCAGGTTGCTGCCGCTGCTCGTGTTGTTGTTGATGGCCGAAATCGTCTCCAGGGCGTGGTCCAGCGAGGTCAGGTCACTAGAGGTTGCCAATGTGCTGGCTATCTCCGCCCGGATGTCCACGTCCAGCATGTCCTGCATCGAGTCGGACACGTAAAAGTCTAGCGAAGGGCCAGCCGCATCCTGCAAGGGATAGGTAATGTACATTTCAGTCACGAATCAATCAATCAATCAATCACGAATCTATTTTCCGAATCAATCGAGCAAACAGAGCTTTCAGCGAAGCTTTTCGCGGGAATTTTGGCGCGACCAATGTTGTGCAACGTCTGCAATTGCACTTGCTATAGCAAAGTTGATTAACCAGAAGGTGGGGGCCAATAGAAACAGAGCGGAATCAACATAAGAGATATCTAGTCAGCAAGAGGGAGATGGCATGGGTTACAGGGGGGGCGATTTACTTTTGAATACACATAACTTGGGGCTCCCGTTTTCCCATTCCGCAAGATTTCTTCGTTTTCAAAACGAAAACATTTTTTGTTGACGAAATGAAAAGTAAATGGCTTTTTATACAACGAAACGACCCTTAATTGCCAAAAAAAGAAAAAAATAGATGATTTATTGATGCATTAACATAAACTTGACACCTATATCAGGGTAAATAAACTTTTGCTTTCTTTATACATAATTTTATTTTAAACCAACCTCATATTTGGCTCGGAAAAAATGTCCCAGGGCAACAACAATTTTCGTTTTGGTGCAAACAGCAAAAACATGTGAAAATTGGAGAACCTTAAAAGGAAAATACGCCGGAACCTGCCTGATTATATTATATATACTTATTTCATATTCCATCAAATGCAAATCGAAACTAGATCATATCGTATATCCTCCCACTGCACGCTTTTTCCCTGTAAGGTTTCATCAAAGTGTCATACGGGCATAATAGCAATAGATTCATGGCAGTGGTACGGGGGCGGGGGTATGTATCTGCTTTTCGCTTACTTTCTGGTTTATGTTTTCTGCCTCGTGCCACAACCTGCCGCAACTTTTTCAAGGCTCTCTGCTAACGCGGCTGTCCCGAATGTTTGCTTTTCGGGTTTTCTTCTTACCAGGAATTGTCATTTTCCCGCCCTTTGGTTTCCTTGGTATCCCCTCCACCTCCCCCTTTCCCACTTATCTCTCGAACATTCCATTACATACACACACACAGACAGGACACACACATATGTATGTATGTATGTATAGAATACATTATAATCATGAAATGTGTAACATAAGTCGCATGAATCTGAATCTGAATCTGTGTCTAAATCTGATATGCCCGTGCATATATGTATGTATGCATGTGTTTATATACATATGTATGTATGTATGTTTGTATGTATGCATCGGATAAGTTTTCATTTTCTATATGTCAGGAGCAGAGTACCCGAAAACCGGTTTTGCGCGCCAAGCAGGCAGGCAGGCAGGCAGGCAGCAAAAAGGCAACAGAGCAAACAGGCAGACAGGGATGGACAGGAAGGAGAGGAGGGACAACGACGACGAAGAACAAGCAGAAGAGGGTCCATATAGCACAAACAACATAAACAACAGCCGATGAAAGATGTGGTGCGATGGATGTGCAACAGCGAGGGGCAGGCATAGGGACAGGGACAGGGACAGCAGACCACCAACAAAAATAACTCATGTTGCAACACCAGAACCAGACAACAGCAGCAGCAGCGAAGGGAGTCGGCAAAACGTAAACAATTTCAACAGGCTGCGGCGGCGTACACGAAGGAAGGTGGCAGGCATATATTGTGAAACGAAAAGTTCCCAAAAAGAGGCACCATCTCCGATGGCCATGATTTTTAGTGGCTCGTTAGATGACCCCAACTAAAGCAGAGCTAAAGATCTGGATAATTGTGAATGCCACAGAACAACAGATCTCCGACAGCCTTCAATAATCCTTGATCCTTTTTCGATCAACTGTTGGTCATCGATTTCGAGTGTCATCCATGGTCTAGAGTTTCCACTGTAAGCGCACACATAAACACACATTACATGCCCCCACACATACACACATACAAACTCGTATGTAATCGTACATATAGGAGGCGTTCCAGAAGGCCATTCCAGCCAGGGCCAAACCGGATATCAGAAAAAATTGAAAGTTTTATGCAATGTCTGACCAGCATTATAAATGGGGGCCCTGGAGTTGGGGATGTGGCGCCCCGGAGTGACTCAGAATTAGATTTACTCTCAGGGCAGAACATGTTGCCAGCAGCATGTTGCAGCCACACAAAAAGACTCTCTGTTCCCATGCATATTTCTATGTGTGTATGTATGCATCAGACTGGGAAAAAGTGTACAAAAAAAAAGGGAACTAAAGCCATACAAAAACAACAACAATTGAAGGGGAGTGAGAGAGACAGAGAGAGAGAGAGCGAGAGGGGTGAAAAAAGGGGAAACTTCTCTGTTCTGCCTGGCCTGCGCCGACTTCGCTGCGGCGAAACAGAGAAGCAGAGCGCGCCAGCAGCGAAAAAGAGAAACAGGCCGAAGTTGCTGAGAGAGCGAGTGAAAGAGCAGAGTTATACAGAAACATAGAACGCCGCACATAACAGAGGCGAAGTTGGGCCAGAGAGCGTGTACAGTAGGCGACAAAACATGGCCATGCGGCGAGTCTGAGAACAGAAAAATGAAAACAGAGACAGCGGCAGCGCCAGCGCCAGCAGCAGAGGCAGAAATCGAGTACTTTTTGCGTTTTACTTTTTCTGTGTTGCCTGCCCCTGCCGCTGCTGTTGTGTGCTGTTGCCTTTGCTGTTGCTGTTTTTGTGGACTTTATTCGGGCGCTGCTTTTGGTGGAAAAAGCGTAGTAGGCAGCAGAAAAATTAGTAGTAGGCGCCTAACAGCCAGCAGCAAACTTAACAGTTACCGGTTTTCAGGCAGCTGTTAAAAAAGGCGCGCGCGCGCCCTCTGGGGGAGGAGGAGGCGGTGTATGCCAATGTCAAGGTGTCCTTGAGCCGCAGCAGCAGCAGCAGCAGCAGAACTGACCTGACCCCTGAACCCTGTCCCCACAACCAGCCCCTATTTCGACCCCCTCCCAAGGGGAAAATCCTGTGTGTTTATTATGCGGCGACTCCGAAAAATCGATATAGAAAGAGCATACACAGCACAAAGCAGATTTCGGGGGAGACGCATCTCTGTCTCCATCCATCTCTCCCTCTCTCTCTCTCTCTCTCTCTCTCCGTCTCTCTCTGTTTGGAGAGGGACTCTCTGGAGAGCCCCGCCATGAGACGAGAGTGATAAGTTGCATAATTCAACAGGATATCATAAATTGGCAGAGGCCGCATTTCGCCAGCCTTTATCATCAGAGTGGGAGTTTCCATCCCAAAAAATAAGGGGAAGACTTCCCCACACCACCCACTGTCTGGCCACCCCCCCTTAATGGTCTGTCTGGTGGCCTTTTATATGAAGACAGAAATGGGGGGGCAGTAAAGGGGGATGGGGATTGTTAGATGGAAATCCAAGTGCCTTTCAAGTGCATCCTCTCTTATTTCATATTTTCAACGTTTTCCCCTTTATTTATCAGTCATTTGACGCAATTGCCTCTATGACGCACTCTCTTGGACCAGATGACGCATCCTGTCGGCGGCAGGTGCTGCCTCCTGATAAGCAGCAGGACCAACGTCAGAGGACCAAGGCTTTTGTGTAAATGCAGCAAAGAAACAGGCAACACGCATAAGACGCAGCCGGACCCCAAGAGAGAGAGAAGACAGCTGGTAATCTCCCAGAGGCAGGCGAACAGAAGTGCAGCAGAGGCAAAGGCAGCTGCCACATCCTCTGTTTGAGCCATTTCTTCATTCAACAATTGATTATAGGCGCTCTCTCTCTCCCACTCTGTATCTCGGCCAAGACAATAGAAGAGGACACTAATTGATTTTCTTGGGGATGTGCGTAGAAAAAAAGGTACAAGAAAAACAAAGATCGATCTATGAATGTAATAGAAATACTTGTATTTAATCCTGAAAGCCAAAACTAGTACACAGCCAATTCCCGCCAGGGATTCTCCCTGTCAAAGTCGTTCATATTATATTTCCACGCTTGAGAGACTGAACCCCATACACATTTTCAATGGGAATACGCTATGAGATATTCCCCAAAAGATAGCCGGAAATACTGAATTCAATGCATCCTTTTGTGCTCCCTACTGCATCTCTATAAAGGATGGATTCACATAAACATTTTCCCCGTAACCTTATCCTCTAACAATGGCAATTTGAATTCCTCCTGCGACTCCTCCACCCTCTGCTCTCCTCTCATACCGAATCCAATTCACATTTCATGCCTAAATCCTCTAATATTGATAACTATTTGGCAATATTTCTCTAACCCTTTGCCCTTCCCCTGCCCTCTGGCACCACTAATTGAGCACTACATCCCACAGATAGGACGACAGATGATCATCATCCGAAAAAGTATTCGGATGTCTGGGCCAGGACCCCAATGATGAAATGATTAAGGGTTTCGATTAAGGCGGTTCGCTCTCTTTCCGTCAGTTTTCCCCCTTGTACTCTGTACCCACAGTACCCTCTACCCTTCCCTTCCCTTCCCTTCCCAGTCGTTGAGTATATTTCTGCATGTGTGTGCGCTGCTTGTATCTGTGTGTGATAACCTTTCGGTGTGCCCTCTGCTGTACGTTCCGAGTGGCACAGGCAGCTGCAACAACTCAGCTCTCAGCAGCTCAGGGGTTGCTCTCTCTGTCGCTGTGGTCTCCGGTCTCCGGTCTCCGGACTCTGTCTGTTGCTTGTACTCTTTTTACACCACTCCCTTCCCCCTTGCTGTTTTTCTGTTGTTGCAAGTTGCGACGAGAATTGCCGCCTGCACTTTTGCAAACGGAAAGCGAACACTTCCTGGCTCTCTAATTAGTTTACTGTTCTTCCGCTGCTGCCACTTTTCACACCTCCCCCACACACACAGGGGGAGGGAATGAATGCGGGGGGCAGGATGCTATACAATTTTTAATAGCTTCAGAGTCCAATAAATCACCAGTCAGCAGATGAGGCGCTCAGCAGTGGCAGACTATGTCGTATATCAAAAGCCAATAACCAAGGAATATTGTCCTCCCCTGCCCATTCCTCCATCACCTCTTTCGCCTCCTTTTCTTTATGAATTTTTCTTTTTTGGTAAAAACTTGAAAAAATGTTCCGAAATAAAAATGCATCGAACAGGCGTGCAAAAGTGCATAGAAAGGATAAGGAAATACGATATTGGCCCCACTTTTTGGAGCTACGAGAGGACTGGAGCTGCCGCCTCCTTTGCTCCTTCGGTCTCTTGCTGCACTTATTGCTCCCTTTTTTTGGCAGCAGCAGCTGCCCGCCCATTGACCTTTTTATGCTGTGCAACGAAGCAAGGCAGCAGCAGTGCCAAGGAGCGGCAGCAAGAGGCAATTTCGGACATGTCGGAGCATGTCCATGCACGCACAGAGAGGAGGGGAGGGGGAACATTTTCGGTTCGCCAGGATTCGATATTTTCCCCCTTGTACATGGAATATTTTCCAATGTTTTTCTGCTGCTGCTGCTGCTGCATGCCTCTGGTTGTAGTTCCATCTGCCATCATTTCTTTCCCGCTTTCATTTTAAAATCTCCCGTAATGACGGGAATGACACACAAAGATGGAAACACAAGGGAAATCAAAGAAGGAAAGAAGGAAAGAAGAGACCCAGGTAGGCGGACATCTTCCTTGGGCTTATGAGCGCCCGTTTGTAAATTACTTTATGGTGCAATAAAATTCGCTCTCCACAATCCAGGGCCCAGGGCCTGTCCCCTGTAGCCTGTAACAATACCAATCCAACGGCAACGACATTTACCCGAATATGTCCTTAGCCAAACATCACATGTCGCACAAATCGTCTTTAAATCTGCCCCTTAGAGCGAAATTTTGCAGCTTCCTTGGGTTATTTTCATTCATTAAGTCCAGCCATTGGGAGATATCTTATCCTCATCGGGATCTGGTTCAAGCAAATTAACATTCCCCGAAAAAGTTGAAATTTATTTCGGGGAAGTTTTAACATTTTTCCGCATTTAAAGATGAGATGATTGTAGTTTGTTGGCCTTGTTTTTTGAAGCAAGTAAAATGGTCAACAAATAAGCTTTTTGCACTAGACATTGAAGTCGAACCTCTATTATGCAAAGAAAACGTTCGACTTATAGAGTGGGATGTAATGTGCTTCCTAAAAAATGTTTAGAAAATTCCACTTTCAGACTTTCGAGATATTTTTGTTTCTTTGTGCCATTACAAGAGTGGATTCTAATTGAAATAAACTTAAAGCAAAATATGGGAAATTTTTGTGAAATCTTCAAGAAATTTAATTTAGGAAGATATAGAGATGGAATTGCTCTCTAAAGAATCTTCTAATTTTTGGCTTTAATCGGTTTGATTTTGTTCTCGATTTCGACTTTAGGCATCGGCCACAACCAGGGGTCCCACGGCTAAAAGAACTGCCACAACTTTCGCCCCAAATTGTTATTTCTGTTCATAATTCATAATGCCAAACTTTTCTCAACAATAACTTGCAGTTTCCACATCTGTATCTTTGCGAGTGTGTGTGTGTGTGTGTGTGTATGTGGGGGGCCGTGAGAAAATCTATGCGGCATACAGCTGGGCGCTCATATTCGGCAGCCCGACGACAGGCCGGCCTGCCTGCATATAGGCTGTTCTGTTCTGTTCTTTTCTGTTCTGCTCTGCATTTTGGGGTAGGTGTTAGGGGGGAGTGTCGCAGCCCCCCCACCCACACTGTCTCGGCGAAGTCGGCGCACATGAAAAGCACGTTGAACTTTGAAGTTCTGGTGCCGCCGGTTTGGTTTTGCTTTGTCAGCGCTTTGATGTTTGTTTCTCTTTCTTTGAGCCATGTTGCGGCAACAAAGGTTGCAGGAACATGCTAATTCTCTGGGAGCCAGAGAGAGAAAGACAGAGGGAGAGAGCGAGTGAGCTTTTGATTTGCGAGTGTTGACTGTTGCTTTCGGTTCCCGTCTTGCTCCCACACACACACACACGAAAATCAGATAAAAACATTCGTTGGGTTTCATTTCGTTTGCTTTTCTTTGTTCCCCTACGGAGACAAAGACGGAGATATTCGCACACACTTGTGGCTGTGTCGCCGCCCCCTGAGTGTGCGTATCCCTTTGCATGTGTGGAGTTTTGCATGCTGCATTGAACAGGCGCCCATGATCGGGCAACCAGGCGCCGCTCCTGCACTTCCAACAGAGCCCCACTTTGCAGGAGCTCAGGCCAGTCCGAATCCCCAGCCGAAGCTCCATCAGTGTCTCTTGTTACCGGACTCGCTGCCGCTTGGCTAAAACAAAACTCGGTTCGAGGTTGAATGCTTGGCCTTCAAAAAGTTGAAAACGCAAAAGCAGAAGAGACCCCAAAAGACAGAAAAACAGAAGAAACCCAACGAACCAGCGGCTCAACAAACACATAAGTACACTCCTATGAACACATGTCGGCTTATGTGTGTGTGTGTGTGTGTGTGTGTGCATGGCAATAAATAAATAAACTTAAATAATTGCGCATGACTTATGTATAACAAATGGAAGACTTGTGCTGCTGTTTCTGCTGCTGCTGGGATCCGCAGAAGACAGCGGAATTAGGCTGGGAACACCGGCACCGCACCCCCTCCGTCCGATTCCCACTTTTGTTGTGCGATGTCGTTTTATTTTAGTACAAACAACAGTAACAGGGGCAACAACAGCAGCAGCGGCGCTAGCAGTGGCCAAGCTAACAGAGCTCCCACTGTTAACAAGAGTCTCCACCTAGCCAAGTCCCTCACCAACACCCAGATGTAAAAGTAAGAGCCAATACAGAACAGTTTATAATCACATGAAACCCCCCCTCACCCACTCCCACTCCACCATTGCAAATCAGAAGAGGAAGTAGCAGTACACTTGAATAGAATTCCATCATTTTGCTGTGCTGTTCCGGTGTGGGCCCCCTCCCCTCACACTGTCGACCGATCATTAATCATCAGTTCAGTTCAGTTCAATGAGCGCCTTCAGCGGCAGTTTGAAAGCTTAACGATCAAAAGTAAACACATATACGCACTCACACATATGTAAAAACTACTGCGAGCGAATTCAAATTCAAAATTATACGTTAAATGCGGCGAAGGCAAATGTAAAATCAACAACAAAGCTTGGCAGATGAGAGCGGGCGAATTAAAGCACGAGCAAAGAGCAAGAGAGTGAGAGTGAGTGAGATGTGTGGAACCCAGAAAACTGTTCTTGGGGCGATATAAAAAGAGAGAGAGAGAGAGAGCACTAGTGGTGGGTTTCCAGGAGGGGGAAGTGTCAAGTGGCGGAAATACTAGGAGAAAAAAAACTGCACAGAGCTCGCTGCTTTGTCGACGACAAAACCGAACGTTAAATTTGAAAATAAGCGATAAAGGCCAGAGTCGGTGTGCGAATGTGTGAGGTCTCGTGCGCCTGTGTTAGTGTGATTTTGCGAGAGTAACCGGCCGGCAAAATATGCAAAAACGTTAAGCTGTTGCCGCAGCCACCCCCCCTCGACACTTACCGCGTATTTGTTGAAGAAACCATCGTGTATGCCGCTCGAATAGTCCTCTATCTCGAACATTTTTGGTTCTGCGGGTTTCTTCTGTGGTGTGTGGGAGATTCTACCAATTGCAGAATTACTGCCGCATACGCTTTGTTTTGATCAGTTCCTCCTCTTCACGTTCCGTTCCCCGTTGTTTCTCTCTTCTTTCGTCGTGGGATTAACCGTTGCACGGATCGAGTGTAAGGGGGGGAAATAATAACCGTTGGTTTATCCCGCCGCTCTCCACCGTCTCTCAATATTGGCCAAGCCAAATGCAATTGCTCTACGATTCTATTTGACTCTTATTTATTATCATTTTGAGTTATCAATCGCGCACAGTTTATTTATTATTTAGTCAATAATCACTTTCAAGCCATACACAGCGAAAAGCAACCAACCGACGAACCGCGCAGAATGTTTATGTCGATACGGATATTTTTTATACGGAAATATCAACGGAAATTTCGGAAATTCACAAGAAAAAGCGACGTGAAGGTACGTTGTTTACCGGGCCGGGCGTAAAAATTGGATTCCTCGTTTTCGGAATTTCGGCGCGCTCCGGTAAATTCGAAATATACGATATCGTTCTTAAATTTCTTGACACACCAGCACAGAGACCGCGCTGCTCGAAAGTTGGAACACGAATGAGACATGTTGGGACATGTTCAACAGCAAAACAGCTATGTTAAGCCTTAGTATAGGCTTTTGTATACCCTATACTGTTAATTTTATATGAAACTATTAATATTGATATGAAGATAATAGACCTTTTCTCAAATTGACATTTTTTAGACATATTGATGAGTGTTTTGTATATATATCTCGATCCTGATACCCATTCTTGGTCTCTGCAAGAAGACAATAAGCTTTAAAATATCGTTGAAATATTGAAAATAAAACTAATTAATATTGAATAATATTAAAATATATTGAAAATAAATTGTTTTTGCCTGGGATGACAAACATATTCACAATCCTATAACATCCATTTCCCCAGGGTATGTGTGCATGGAATGGGACTCATTGTTGTCAACCGGTTATGACTACTAATTCTTGGTTATTCTTTCTTCCGTCGAATATTCCCAGCTATATAGATCTCTTATTTCTGCCCAGATAATTTTATATGATTGCTGAAACAATTTTAATCAGGACTAATTATTTTTAAGTACTTGCATGTTTTTTGTTTTGACAAAAACACGATTTCAACAAAAATGTTCAATGTCGCAGGTTGTGTCGTCAATGTTGCTGGTATTTGCCGACTCATTTGTTGTCAACCAGGAGATGGCCGTTTGTATACCCTATTCCGTAAATATTATATTAAGATGCTGTTTTCCAAGCAGCTTTCAAATGTAATTAATAAAGGCCTTGTTTTAGATTGAATTTTTTTGGTCTATTCATGCATTTGATTAGGTTCTTGTATATCAATCTTGATTGCAAAATATCGTTTAAAATAGATACTGACTAGTTTCTGCATTAATTAGAGCATGGGATGAAACACAATTCCACAATTCTATATCATCCATTTCCCCCAGGGTATGTGTGCATGGAATTAGCAACATGTTTGTGTATGGAATGAGACTCATTGTTGCAATAGCGAAACTGCGGCGAATCGGATATTGCCTATATTTCAATGCCCACTTTGCTTTATTCCTTAGATAAATGCATTTTCTACAAGATTGCTTCTTTTAATTACCTTAATGTATTTTATTTTGACCAAAAACGGTTTTCAAGTAAATGTTGCCGCAACAATGAGACTCATTGTGGTCAACCGGTTATTACCGATTCTACCCGATTCAAATAAATACCAAAATATACGGTCTCATTTTCAAAATATACCGAGTGGTGCGCGCCAAATCTAACTTTTTTGAATGTGAGCGACAAGGATTTAAATGTTGTCAACCGGGCCATTACCGATTCAACAAATACGATTCCCTCAATTTTGTTCTTCCGTCGAATATTCCCAGCTAAATAGAATATTTATCTATGCACACATCATTTTATCCGATTAGTGAATCAATTTTCTACTTTTGTTTTAGCGAAGAAGGTCAACAAATGAAACGTAATAAAACGTAAGAGAAAAATCGTTCCAATTGCTCAATTTCTTTATTCCGATGAATAATGCTGCCTAACTAAAACCTTTAGCTCTGCCCATATAATTATATACCATTGATAAATAAATTTTCTACAATATTGGTTAGTTCTTAGTCCTTGCTTTTATTATTTATTGACTAAAACATTGTTTAAACAAAATAGTGCAACAAAAAACAGTCGCAATGTTGCTGGTATTTGAAGACCTGATACGTGTATAGGATTTGTATACCCAATTTCGTTAATTTAATATGAAGATCCTGTCTTCCGAACTGTTTTTAAAACGTAATTAATAAAGAAATTTTCTCATGCATATTATTACTATCTTGTATTTATATACATATGTATATCCTTATACCTATTCTTGGTCTTTGTAGAGTGACGATGAGCTGCAAAATATCGTTGAAATAGGTTTAAACCAGGGATTATATTGTTTTTGCATTAATTGGAGCCTGGGCTGATAAACATACAAAAAAATCACAAACAATAAAAATCTGAAATAATCATTATTCAATCAAAATCAAGAATAATAATTATACAATAAAAATCAAAAATAATAATTATATAATAAATGTTTTGATAAAAATTAATAATCGATCAATACAAATCAAAAGTAATAGTTTTTCAATAAAAAACAATAATAATAGTTGTACAATAAAAATCAGAATTAATCATTATTCAATCAAAATCCAAACATTTTTTGCGTTTTAGTAAGGTAAGAAGATAAAACGTAATTAATAAAGACCTTTTCTCAAATTGATATGTTTTACAAATATTCATGAATATGATTGGTGTCTTGCATATAATCTCGATCCTGATACCTATTCTTGTTCTCTGTAAGACGGCAAAAAACTGCAACACATCGTTGTGATATTTAAAACAGACTCTAAATTGTTTTTGCCTTTGGAGCCTGGGATGACAAAAACTTTGTCAATTTTATAACTACCAACAGCCATATAGATACATTGAAATCATAAATGTAGAAAAGTTTATTGCGCAATGAACTGCATACAATATTTGTTACAAAATTAATCATAATACTGTGAAAAATACATATCGTTTCTCAAATTCTTGAATACCGAGCTAAAAATATACAACTTTATTGATAAAAATTTTTACATTTCCTTGATGACCTGCTCTGGAAGAGTCCTATTCAAGAGAAAAATAAGACTTTCCCAGAACAGATCCTTAGGTATTCAAGAAAAATAATTATTTATCCATATTTTAGAGGTTGAAAAACGTAAATTAAATACAAATTAGAGAAAAGCAGCTTACACTTTCTAACTATTTAACAGTTTTCAACTCAGTATTTAAGAAACTTAAATGAATTATCCATGTTTTCAATTCTATATTAATAATGTTTACGATATTTGAAAGTCTTCTTAAATACTACTTGTAGTTTTTTTTACAACAAGTTAAATGGACTGAGTCCTCAAGAAACTTAAATAATTTATCCATCTGTTCAATGAGTATCAAATATATAGGTAGTGTATAGCATGAGGATATGTACAAATATCTGGGTTTTCTCTTGAATACAAATTACCTGACCAGGGCAGGTCGTCAGAGAAATGCTGGTTGTCAATATTTGTACTGTTTAGATTGGGAAACGCTATAGATAAGGTCTTACGGCTAAGACGATATGGTTTGACCAATGCTAAAGTCTCATACTTTTCAAATTTAACATTTTACGTTTTAAACTAAAATTCATTTTTACGATTTACAAAAGTGTTTAAGAAATTTAATCTTGAGTCTTTAACTTGTCGAAAGCAGCATCGTTATCCTTCTCATTTTTATGTAAACGAGCACGTTTGACTCCAGAGATAGCTTTCTTTTGTGGTTTCTGTGAAAATAAAAAAGCGCCGAGCACGTTTCAAACAGTTTTGCGGAACAAAAATATACCAATTGAAGAATACATACCACCTTTGGAAGGGGTAGCTCGTTATCGCTGAGAAAGTCCGAGGAATCGGATATGGCTTCAATACGTCGGTTTAGTGCAAAACGTTTTCTTGAAGGAGCAGGTGGAGCTTCAATAACCAGCTGCGATTCAGTGATGGATGGGTTTGGTTCCGGTCTTACAACTCTCACACTGCTGACAGACTGCTCAAACACACTGCCAATTCGGTTCATCTTGAATTTCAGCTCAGCTATGATGGCCTGCGAACAGAATAGTGGCTATCACTTATGTCACATGTACTCGTACATGATTGAGAACTCTAGCTTACATCCTTTTTGCGTTCCAATTCGGTGTTTTCGTTTTCCTTGCTGTTTAGCTCCATTTGCAGACTGGCCAGTTTTGTCTGCAAAGAGTATACATTTTCAGATATGTTGCACATTGCAAGCCACTGAGACCATTATGTTGTACCTGTAGGATGCCCGTTTGCGACCGTAGTTCCAGTTCAAAGTTGGACTTAGCTGTCGCTAATTCATTGACCATTTCTTCATGTTCGCCAAGTAGCTGATGTACGTTATTACTCAGTGCGTCTCTCTCAGCCTCCAAACTGGTGATATGCTGCTGAAGCCTATCAATTTGACCCTGAAGTTGCTCCAGTTTAGCTTGAAGTGTGTTGATGTTCTCTTTGTAGTTCCGCTCATCATCCTGGAGCTGCGATGCCAAGGCCTGGTTTTGTTTAGTTAGTTCGTTTAACTTTGCCACCGCATCGTTTAATTCGTCTTGCAAACTCTGAGTTTTCTTTTGATGTTCGCTGGCCAGTTGTTTATTGCCGAGTTCCTGCTTCTGACAAAGCACCTCGCTCTCATTGAGCCTGCCTTGGAGATCGGAGAGCCTGACGTGTATGTCATTTACTTCTTGTTCGTTCCGCTTGGATAGCTCGCCGCAGGCCAGATTCTGCTGCTCCAGTTCATATTTTAGTCGTGAGACAGTGGCCTGAAAAATCAGAACGTAGAATAAAGGGAAAGTCAAAATTTGAATTTTCCTTACCTCGAGCTCATCCTTTTGTTGCTTTAATTCCTCGGCAAGTTTAGTCTTTTCAATGGCAAACTCTACTGCGGCTTGGTCGTTTTGCTGTATCAAATCGTTATTGGAAACCTTTAATTGGTCCCTTGCAGCCTCCACTTGGCTTAGGTAGTCTTTCAAAGTGGTAAGGTTTCGGTGATTTTCCTCGTTCTCTGCTTTAGCTGCTGAGATTTGGATTCGTTGAAGCTCGAGTTGATTTTTGAGTGTGTCATTGCACTGCTGAAGACCACGACAGAGCTCTTCCTTTTCCATCAGCTGGCCCTGAATGTGCGATATATTCAGGTTGTACTCTTTTACCTGCAACTCGCTGCGATTGACCAGATCGGCCTGTGCTAGAGTCTGGTTTTGGATCTCTGTTTCCAGCTCTGAAATCCTAATCTGTAAGAGAGAATCAATATTAAAGACACCCACACTGTCGGACACAAATAAATGTACCTCGTGGAGCGTATTTTGGGCAGCGAACTGTTCCTCCATATTCTGCATAGCGTTATGAGACTCCGTCTTTTCCTTAACGTGCTCTAAAAGCTGTGACTGCATCTTTTGCAAATCGGCCGTTAGCTGCTCATTAGTTTGGGTCATAGCATCGACTTGGGCACTAATATCGAGGTAGTTATCCTGCATGGTCTTGACCTGAAAGCAGATCGATAGAGGATCGAATTTTAGACGGGATAATTGGACTATATGTATATTTGTGTTCCTCTACCTTGGACTCCAATTCATCATTTCGCGACTGCTTCAAAGTAATTTCTGCTTTTAGCTGATTGATTGTAGCTTTGATCTTGGTTTGCTCTTCGTCATAGTGTGTCTCGCAGTGGGTGTACTTCTGAAGTACAGTTATGTATTTTTCATTGAGTTGCTTGTAATTCCCTTTCAGCCCTTCTAGCGCTTTCGTTAGTTCCTTCAGCTCCTGTTCCGCGTTACTCAATCTAAGAAATAAACTTGGCTTTAAACAAATACATTGGGAGTGTACGCGCAGGCACATACTGTACTTTTAGATGATCATTTTCAGCTTTCGTTTCCATATAAGCTTTCGTTTTCTTATGCATTTTCTTTGCAATCTCCATGTTATTACGTTTAATGTTTTCAACCGCTTTACAATGTCCTTTCAGGAAGGACTGGACCAAACGGGAGGGTTGTGGTGTATTCGCATCGTCAGAATCGTCATCGAAACAAGTTGTGGATTGCTTGAGGAAATCTTGTTCGGGGCCTTGATTTCTTCCATTAAAATTGTTTTTATTCGGCATTTTCCTGAAAAAAGTTGTGATCAAAGCGGCGCTGTGAAAAATTACAACCTGCGTATGTACAAATGTATTAGTGCACGCTGCACAGACGCCATATTTGCGAATCCGCAAGAGAATTGGCTTAAAGCACAAGCTAGACCTGTTCTTATTGCATAAACTTTACCCAGTATACTTACGCAACTTTAAAAATGGTTATTCGCAATATTCTTTGAAGATAACAGTGGTGTTTTTCACAGAAAATAGAAAAAATTGGACGAGGAAAAGCAAAAAGCAACGGTCAATGTAGAGATCAGTGTGACCGCGGATACCGATAGAAAAACTTAGCCCACTGAAACCCCATTTATCCAAACAGGATAGCCACTTGAGTTAAACCGCGGAATATAGTTCCAATAACAATAATAATAATTCTCGTGTAGACCCATCCTATCCTTCATCTCAAAACACCACTGTTATCTTCAAAGAATATTGCGAATAACCATTTTAAAAGTTGCGTAAGTATACGAAAATATAAAATAGGAAAAATTGGAGGAGGAAAAGCAAAAAGCAACGGTCAATGTAGATATCAGTGTGACCGCGGATACCGATAGAAAAACTTAGCCCACTGAAACCCCATTTATCCAAACAGGATAGCCACTTGAGTTAAACCGCGGAATATAGTTCCAATAACAATAATAATAATTCTCGTGTAGACCCATCCTATCCTTCATCTCAAAACACCACTGTTATCTTCAAAGAATTTCGCGAATAACCATTTTAAAAGTTGCGTAAGTATACGAAAATATAAAATAGGAAAAATTGGACGAGGAAAAGCAAAAAGCAACGGTCAATGTAGAGATCAGTGTGACCGCGGATACCGATAGAAAAACTTAGCCCACTGAAACCCCATTTATCCAAACAGTATAGCAACTTGAGCTAAACCGCGGAATATAGTTCCAATAATATTAATAATAATTCTTCTTTGGACCCATCCTATCCTTCATCTTTGCTTAAAAAAGACCACGATATCTTTCATTTGAACTGCGCTAAAGTTCATCAAGATCCATAATTGTAATGGAGTGTATTTTAATAACCACTGGTCGACAATGGGCTAATAGTTCTGTGTCCATGAACGAATAATATTCATCGATTAACAGTATGTTACTTAACAGGTTTCGTTTATGAAATTAAGCGTGCTAGCAGCACCATGGTATGACAACAACAGGTACAGCTGGATGGTATGGTAGTCCATATTTAGCAGATTATTGTTAAATAAATTAATAAATAACTCTCCCAGCTTTTCGATTTTGTAAATGTTCTATTTAACTAGTCAAAATCTAAATAAAATTTGAATTTTAATGAAAATTTTAATTTGATGAAAATTCCCGACGATTGCCAAATAGTTGTCCATACCCCTCTACAGTTTTGCTATGGCCAGCACAGGTTACAGGGCATGTTAGGCGCAACATGGACTCCGTTAAATTTGAAAGAGGATTCAAAAAGCAGAATTAATCATTCGCTAATATATAATCTACAACAGTCACATTCAATTAATTTTAAGAATAAAAAAATAGCGTCTGATGCGTCCCCTCGGGTTCAATGAGTTTCTTTGTTTTAAGATATTAAACGTTTTTTCAGAATTGTATTGTGTAACAGGCGTATATTTCTTAAAGGTATGTGGTAGGTGGAAAAATTAATACAACTTTTTAAATGGCAACGTGCACGCGGGCGGAGGTACGTACATCCGCAAGAAAGATGCAAAAACAAAAATTGATTCCATCAATTAAACAAAGCACAGATAAATTCAAAATAAAACGAAAAAAAAAAATAGTAAAGAAAACAAAAAATGTACCCTGCAAAAATATCATTTTCCTTCACGCCCTGCTGCATTCCACTTATATACTGGTGTCTATGTTTATAGCTAATGTGAATGATATAGGATGATCCGTCTATTTGCGAGCAAACACCTGCTCCTTGAAGCGCAATGCCGACAGCATGGCGGGATTGTGCGTGGCGACCTTTCCGCCTTCTTTCGGCGGCTGCTGCTGCTGCTTGGACTTCTTGTGAGAGCCGGCCGGGACGCGCTGCACGCGGAATTTTCGGTTTGGCGGCGAATCTGGCTCCTCGCGGAAATACTTCTGCTTGGGCGTGGCTGGCTCCACGCGCATAATGCCCGAGCGTGTCTTAACCAGCTCGATGAGCGGCTCTGGAGCATCGTCCATGGTAACAGTCACGTAGCCAGCATTGGTTTTGATGCGGTTGACGACTGCCGACTTGTTGTGGTTCTCCTCATCGGAGCTTTTTACTGGCGACACCAGCTGTGTCTTCAGCAAAGCCTTCTTCTGCTTCTTAGTCCCCTTTGCCGGTTTTTTAGCTTCCATCGGCGGCTGCGGTGACAATTTGCGGAGCAACGAACGCGGCTGTGGAGGAATGGTCGATGCTCATTAATATCTGAAGCCCTGGAGGAGGTTCCCAACTTGATTCTCACCTCTTTGATGGCCACTGGCTGCGGCGCCAACAAGTTAACGGCGTGACTGACGGCGTTACGGGCTGCCTGCAGACGCTTCAATTCCTTCTTGAGCGGCAGAGCTTTGGTGGCCTCACGAATGTCTGTGTCAGTCGAGTCGACCGATTTAAACACAGCCTCCGAAACAGTTGGTTTTGGTTTGTTATGTTTCCTGCCCGCTGCAACATGCTGTTGAGGATGTGGAAAAGAAGGAGTAAGTTTCAGTGGAAATGAAAGAAAATGCAGCCTTACCAGTTTCTTTTGCTCCAGCTTGGCCTCGTTGGCTCTCTGTAGGATGGAGGCGCAAACGTCCAAGTAGTGGTCAGTATTCTTCGACCACTTTCCAAAAGTCGGAGTGTTCTCTGCTTCCTTCTTCGATGGATCCGGTTCTGGGTCCTCTTTTGGTGTGTCCTTTGTCGATGGCATCTCCTCATCCATCTCTTGATCTTTGGGCTGTTGCAGCCCCTCCGACTGTTCTTCCTGCTTCTTAGGGGACTCCTCTTTCGGTATGTCAGGCGACTCTGTGGGAGGCATATCCTCTTCCATTGATCCCAATGACTCATCGTGCTCGTTTTTGGCCCGTTTGTGCTCTTGACGAACTTCCATGTCCTCCAGTTCATCGGCCGCGCCTGAGAAACTCTTGGACAGGCGCTTGCGCTTTGCCTGATGCACCTTACGCTCGGCCATCATTTCGACAAAGGACTGAGAGGGACAGAAGTCTCGCTCACTGCGTAGCTGCAGCTTGGGCTCCTTGGCGGCCATCTCGGGGCTGGGCATGTACAGCGATTGACGGCGCGACTTCTGGAGCGGATTGAACATAGTTTTGAGATGCGTCAGGTCGCTGGAGGCCAGTTCGGCCAAGACGGCTTCTTCGTCGTTGACCTTTTGCTTCTGGTGTACAATGGATGAGGATTTGTTGCTTGAAGAAGGCTCTTCATCTTCGTCTTCGTCCCCGTTCTCGGCATCGTTATCTTTACCATTATCGTTTTGCTCTTCCCCATCGTCTTCGTCGGAGTCTAATACTTCATAGATACTCTTGTTGGTTGCCGCTGTTTGTGGATCATCTTTGTGGTCAGATTCAGAGTCCACATCCATGATAGTCATGTCCAGGCGTGGAGCTGTCTTGTTCAAGCACTCCGACTTGTTGATCTCGTTAAGGAAGAGTTTGCGCGAGTTCTCGAGCTCTGTTTCAGAGGTCGAATAATGCTCCTGGCTGCCAATTAAGATCTGTGCGGCTTCGCTCAGTTTGCTGGCATTGGAAGAGCAGTTGCTCTGATTTGTTGGCCTCTCCGAGTGGTTCTCCTCTTCATCTTCCTGACGCTGCTGATTTTCTCCGTTCTCCTTTTCTTCCTCCTGCTTGTTCTCTGCCTGCTCCTCTTCATCGCTGGAATCCATAACTATGATGCGGGCACGGTGTTTCTTGCCCTTCGGAGACATCTCTTCGAGAGACTCAGCCTCCAGCTCATTGGAGGAGTAACGTAGCTCTCCAACGTCAGAAGTATCCGACACAATAAAGGATTCATTGCCAATGGACTCGTCCTCGTAGGACCCATCGGTGTCTTGGCTGCCCACGGATTCGCCTTCGTCGACAATCTCATTTTCCTCGATCTCGCGTTGCTCCGAGCTGTCCATCGAGTCACCCGACTTGTAATCAGCAGGTGCTTCCTCCGCCTCGTTTTCGACGAATTCGCACAAGAATTCTTCCTCTTCCTCATCATCCTCATCCTCATTGTCGCTGTTCAGGCGGAGTCCGCTTGAAACCTTCTTGGAGGGCGTGGGCTGGGGCTTGGCCTTGGCAGCCTCCTTTAAATCTTTCTCTCTGTTTTCGGCCTCCACCTGGGCCCAAGGCTTAAGGCAATCAATGCGAGCCGGGGCCGGCTTCAACAGGCTAATGGACGCCTCTCGGTCGTCGCTCTGTAAGGGTGTGGAGCTGTTGCGTGCCTTTAAAGAGGCCACCTTCAGAGGGGTCTCCGTCTTCAGAGGAGTATCTTTCTTCAGAGGGGTCTCCATCTTCCGACGAGTACCTGTCTGCAAAGGGGTATCCATCTTCAGAGAAGTATCTTTCATCAAAGGGGTGTCCGTCTTCAGAGGAGTATCTTTCTTCAGAGGGGTCTCCGTCTTCAGAGGAGTATCTGTCTTTAAAGGTGTATCTTTCATCAAAGGGGTATCCGTCTTCAGAGGAGTATCTTTCTTCAGAGGGGTCTCCGTCTTCAGAGGAGTATCTTTCTTCAGAGGGGTCTCCATCTTCAGAGGAGTACCTTTCTTCAAAGGGGTATCCGTCTTCAGAGAATTATCTTTCATCAAAGGGGTATCTGCCTTCAAAGGGGTCTCCGTCTTCAGAGGAGTATCTTTCTTCAAAGGGGTCTCCGTCTTCAGAGGAGTATCTGTCTTCAGAAGCTTATGGGCCCTCATTAACGATTTCTCCAACAAGAAAGAAGATGGGTTCTTGTTACGGGCCGGAGTCTTCGGGAACTGAACCTTTTCGTCATCAGCGTCTGCCGAGTCGCTATAGAAGGCTACAGACTTTTTGGAATCCACGCTGCCCGATGTCACTATGCGCGACTTGATGTCAGGGGTCAGATCTGGCAGCTGAACGTTGTCGATGATCTTCATTCCGATGCTTGGACGATTCCACTGGGGCTTCTCCTCTTCGTCCTCAGCCATCATTTCAAGTACTTCAGAGGAGTCCAGAGATTTATGTGGCAAATCTTTATCTTTATCTGGAATTTCAAGGTCTTCGTCCACTTCCATGGCCATGTCCTTGAAAGTCGAATTGTTGTTATTTTCAATTGGCTCCAAATCGGGCAGCTGCATTTCATCTTGTGGCTCCGAGTCGGGAGGCTGCATTTCATCTCGTGGCTCATCCTCCATTGCCAACATCTTGAGGGCTGAGGTGCTGCTGTTTTGTGGTTCTGGATCTGGTGAGGCTGGAGATTCCATGGGCAACGTGGTGGTATTTTCTGGCTCTGGATCTGGTGAGGCTGGAGATTCAAAAACTTCGTCTGAAGTAATCGATTTGGAAGCCGCCTCAATCTCGACCTCAGCGTTTTGCTCTTTGTCTGCCCCTCCGCTGTTCAGCTGCTCATCTGGGATTTCGAATGTTTCTATGTCTTTGTCCACTTCCTCCAATAAATCTATTGTGGAACGTCTCTTCGCTTCCACTTCCTCGGCAGCTTGCTTGGTTTCTGCCTTGGACATTTCTTCTTCAAGTAACTCAACCTGTGCTTCCATTTTCTGTGGAGAGCCGCTGGTCCCCTGCTTCATATCCTCCGAAACGCTTTCTGTAGACTCCAACTCTAGCGATTTCGCGAGAGTTTCCGACACCCATGATACATCCTTATCTTTTCCAGCGGCAGCTACAGCCGGCGTCGAAAGATTCTCGACCCTAATTGGAAACTTTGATCGGCCGCGGATCAAATGTTTATTTTTGTTGTCTGTTGGCGACACATTTTCGAAATCAAGAACTGCTTTCGCCCCACTTGGCTGTTGTTCGACGGAAAGGCTCGGATCGGATTGCAGTTTCTCATCCAAAACCGGCTGTGGTGTGTTATTGGCTGAACGGTAGGCAGCTGGAGGGGTCTGCGACATGGAACGCGTGACGCGTTTCTCGTCTGTTGGCGAAGACTGCGCCAGTGCGGGGCTCGAGGTTTTGGATCGAGTCTGTTTTTCATCTTCTGGCTCAAGTTCCTCTTTTAAGGTCAACTGCTTGCGCACAGATCGAGTCGCCTTGGCTGGGGTGCGAGCCGTTCTCTTAACAGACGCCGGAGTGATCGGCTCCGGAGTTTCACCGCGTGCCAGCGAAGCACGCGTGGTTCGGGTGGGAGTAGGCCCTTCTGTGGCGGAATTCAATCGTGTTCTGCGTGTGGGGCGAGGCGAGGCCGTGCCTGAAAGGTGCGACAGGATGTCTAAGCTACGGAAAATGTTCGTCAATTCTCACACTTACCACGATCGGATGCCGTGTCCAGCAACGGTGTTCCGGGGCGACTGTCAGGGTCCAGGACAGACAAGCGGCGTGTACGCGCGCGGGTCACTAAAGGAAGCAGGATTTCGAAGTATTATAATTGGAAGAATCTGCCAAGGAACGTGTTTATCAGCTGCAGGTGAGCCACATGCGGGCCTGCAATGCCGCCGAAAATGGCTACCGGTCCCGTTGCTTTAAATTATATCAAACGGTGTCGGCATTTCCTCACACAACAGAACCGCCGTCTAATTAGAACTCAGGTTTGTCAATTGTAAAACATGTTACCACTTACCTCGCACTCCCTCTTTGTTCTCCATATTGTCTTCCATAGGCCGGCGACGCTTAGTTGGGATAATAAATTTAAGAAGGCCTACTTTAATTGCAATTACTAACAAAATCTAACAAAAACGATGACGCGCGGACGCTTGCTGGTGACAAAATTTACATGTGCCGACTGGGGGAATTTGGCCACACTACGCGCACTTCGATGCTGCGGCGTTAAATTTGAAAAGAGATTTAAATGTTAACACGTTTACCACGAAGGTGACGAGCGACCTCGCCTTAAGGGACTGAGCAACGTTCGCTCACCTGCTTCCTGCTGAACTCCTTCTTGTTCAGGCAGGCTCCGGTTTTTACTTACTTTTATGGATTACGTTTTCCGCCGTTGCGTTTTTAAGGGCCAAAATTAACATGTGCGCCCTCAGAAATATACTGTCTCGTTTTCAAAATATACCGTAAATATACCGATAAAAAAACGATTTTGGCCACACTACATGGCCGTTAAATTTGAAGAGATTTAAATGGTGTGATGGTGTAAAGTGGCTAAGGCCTTAAGCAACTGAGCGACGGTCGCTCACCTACTTTCTGATCAACTATTTCGCTTATAACAATTTATTATTACCAAATTGATCGTAATTCACTTCCACGAGGACAGTAATTTTCAAGCAACTTTACCAGATTTATTTTATATTCTGTACTTCCCGAACTTTTAAATAAGACTGTTTTTAAAATATTTCTGACTTAACATTTAAAACATATTTTGCTTGGCCAAGTCTGGATTAAACTGACTATTGTACTTCTGAACAATCTTTGGCGTTGGCGTTGGCGCCGGCGTGCTGGCTGCACTGGCGGGCACCGCAGCTTTTGGTAGTGCAAACAAGGCCTCGGATCGTTGGCGCTCAGAAGCTTCCCGACGCAGTCGCTCCTTGCGCAGCCTCTCCAGCTTCTCCCGCTTGTGCCGCTCCGCAGCCAGGGCCAATTCTTTCGTCTCCTTTACACTTTTGTGGCTTTTCTTTTTCTTGTTCTTATGTTTTCTGCTCTCCTTGCTGCCTTTTTTATCCTTCCTGCTCTTTTTCGATTTGTGGGCTGAGTGTGTGGGAGAGCGTTCCGCCAGAGAATTCGGGGTCGGCGACGGCGTTCGTTCTGCTTTTCTTTTGGGAGCTCGCTTCGGCGCTTTCTTCTCCGGTGGTATCAGGGCATTTATCAGTGTAAGCGGGTCGTGGGATAGCTTCTGCTTGAGGTGAACTTCAGTGGCAGTGTGGTCTTCGCGCTCTGGCCGCTTGGGAGCCACCTCGTACCAACTGCGAGTTTTCAGTGCCTCGTTGGTGTCTTGGCCCAGATACGTGAGGTATCCAATCTGCTTCTCATACTTTTCCTGCTCCTCCTTTTGCTCCTTTTCCAGATCCTTATTTGTGGTCTTCACGTGTGTCTTGTAGTCCGCAAACAGATCCACACCTCTCGATTCGCCAGGGGTGTGGGCGGCTGCATCATCGGACCGGACGGGAACTGTGGCTTTCTCCGGGAGACCCGATTGGCGGCGCAGGAAATTGATGCGGGCCTCGCTTTCCTAAATGATCGAATGATTTAATTTATATGGACAAGGCTATATAATCGACTACTTACAGCCAACTCCAACTTTTCCTGGCGCTTGCGGTCCTCTGCTTCAGCGGCGGCTTCATCCCGGCGCACGCGGGCTATGTTGTCTTTGGTGCGCACATGCCACCTACGAACAGCATTACACTTAGTTTGTCAATAGTTACATTGGTTAATTAGCTCACCGTTTCTTTGGTAAAATATTCATTTGGAATATTGAATGCGATATGTAAACAACAATAGTTCGCTGTGAATAGCAGGCTCAGGGCTGGATATGTACTGAAATTCCAACTAAATAAAATACATATGTTTAGTAGCGCCGCTGATATAGTCATAGTTAATAGTTCATATTTATTTAGGCACACAAAAATTAGCTGACAAACCAAAAACATATTTAGTACCTTATTTTTGAAATCTTGCGACCGCGTTCCCGATTGAATTGCGATTTTGACAATTGCGATTGTCAATTAGCAAGCACCACGGCGAATGGCAACACATCTGTCAGAAGTAGAAGGGGCAGCAGATTTGTCCCAAGAGCAAAAGTAATTGGGAATGTTGACTGCGATATGTAAACAACAATAGTTCGCTGTGAATAGCAGGCCCAGGGCTGGATATGTACTGAAATTCCAACTAAATAAAATACATATGTTTAGTAGCGCCGCTGATATACTCATAGTTAATAGTTCATATTTATTTAGGCACACAAAAATTAGCTGAAAAACGAAAAACATATTTAGTACCTTATTTTTGAAATCTTGCGACCGCGTTCCCGATTGAATTGCGATTTTGACAATTGCGATTGTCAATTAGCAAGCACCACGGCGAATGGCAACACATCTGTCAGAAGTAGAAGGGGCAGCAGATTTGTCCCAAGAGCAAAAGTAATTGGGAATGTTGAATGCGATATGTAAACAACAATAGTTCGCTGTGAATAGCAGGCCCAGGGCTGGATATGTACTGAAATTCCAACTAAATAAAATACATATGTTTAGTAGCGCCGCTGATATACTCATAGTTCATATTAATAGTTCATATTTATTTAGGCACACAAAAATTAGCTGACAAACCAAAAACATATTTAGTACCTTATTTTTGAAATCTTGCGACCGCGTTCCCGATTGAATTGCGATTTTGACAATTGCGATTGTCAATTAGCAAGCACCACGGCGAATGGCAACACATCTGTCAGAAGTAGAAGGGGCAGCAGATTTTGTCCCAAGAGCAAAAGTAATTGTGAAAAATTCGAAATTTGTTTTACCGTGCTTCAGAGACGAGTGGAAAAGAAAAAAAATCCAAAGTGCGTGGCAAGGGTAGCGCTTGCTCGCGTGCCAACAGTTACAGCGACAGCATGGCCACAGAGCAGCGTATTCTTAAGCAAGACGGGTACTTGGATGTGGGCGACAATAGCGGAGCACCCGCTCGTCCGTTCGAGATGCGCAACATCGTCTACCATCCGCAATTGAATGTGCTGCTGTTGTTCGGCTGCAATAATGTTGTGAAGGTTCTGGATGTCAATTCTGGAGTTGTTTTGCAGACGTATAAATTGAGTAAAAATGGTAAGCGGCAGGCAGCAAGGAAATAAAATAGTGCTACACATACCACCGACCACACTAACACCCATGTACACACACGACAAACACGCAAAAATACAAATGTCACTACAGTGCACACTTGCAAATTAGAACTAACACGCACACGGACACACACACACACACTGCTATGGGCGGTAATTTTGCACGAAATATAAGAATTCTTTCAATTAAAACTTGAAAGAAATGCATACAACACTTGCGAATATTGTCATTTATATTATGGTTGTTTGATTTTACTAACGAGCGACAACTGTAGTGCATTTTGTAATTGCTTTGCACTTGCCTTCGTCTGTCTGTGTGTATGCGTGTGGCATACATTTTTTATGAAGTTGGACGAGAAATCCCTCAATTCTAATTTTTGAAACCATTATTCCCTTAAGATTCGATCAATTCCTAATCAGGGCCGATATCTGCCACGCCTTCCGCACAGACAAGTGTCGGGATTTTTTCATAATTCGAGCCGCCTCTTCCACTATCGCAATATGTTTATTGTTGCCATTTGAGTCCAGCAGCAGCAAGCATGGGCTTTGTTTTTGTTTAGCTTCTATTACGCAGTTACTGCGCAGCACACACACAGACACAACACCGATCCGACACCCGACCCCCGACCCCCGCTTCCGTAGTTCCCCCGGCCGGTGGCAGCGACTAAAACACCGCCGCTGCTTGCTCTATGCTTTATTAGTCATTTGCAATTTCCCCTCAATGGCGAAATCGGAGATGCTGACTGCGCATGGTGCAGTAATAGTGGGCCGGACTACGGGGGTGGGTTGGGGATGTGGTTGGGGGTGGGGGTTCGTGTGGCAAGTGCAGCAGGTTGATTCTAATGTTGAATTCGATTTCTGTTTCCTTTCCTTTCGACAGGCGAAAGCGTCGTTCACGGTCGTTACATGCCCTTGCAAGATAAAATCTTGTTCTGGGATGGCCACAATGTGGGTTTGCGCGGCGACTACAATGGCGTCCTGCTGCTGGATACCATATTGCAGGCGCCCATTGGGCAGAACGACGACTACATTAAGCTGGAGATCATATTGTCCGAGGCGATCATCTTCCAGCACTGCATCAACGATCTGGAGAGCGAGGGCCTCGAGTGTCCCTGCGACATTAGCAACGAGCTAACCCAGAAGATAAACAAGGCCCAGAAGAATGCCAAGAAGGGCATCAAGGCCCAGCGAGTAAGTTTGATCCCACTGGTCCTGTCCACACACACTCTCACACACCTTTCACGTTGCAGTGGAATACAATATGTCTGGAGGTGCCCTATTCCAGCATGAAGCTGGTGGCCAACAACGTGGTCATCCTGCTGAAGCGTCTGGAGCGTCACATTCCAGTGCTTGCCATAGCATCCGCCATCAATGAGCGGCTCACAGACATGATGATGGGCTCGCGGGTGCCCGATTTCGGCTGGAATTTCAGCAACTTTAAGCGTGTGCTCATGCACTCAGAGGCCGTGCGTCGCCAGACATTCGAGAAGTGGCCCCACATGGACTACAAGTGGGCGCTGCCGGATCAAATGGCACAGGCCGGCTTCTACCATCAGCCGTCGTCCTCCGGGGAGGATCGTGCCATGTGCTTCACGTGCAACGTGTGTCTGGTTTGCTGGGAGAAGACCGACGAGCCCTGGAGCGAGCACGAGCGCCATTCGCCCATCTGTCCGTTTGTCAAGGGCGAGTACACGCAGAATGTGCCCCTGTCCATCACGTATGCCACTAGTCCGGCCCTGTCGGCGCCTGGCCTCGGCTTCGACATCATCTCAAACAGCGACTATGCGAATGTGCTGTGCACCAGCTGCTCTCAGACGGGCGAGCTGAGCGTCTGGAGCATTGAGCGTCATCTGCGGCTGATGTACAGCTTCCACGTACCGACCCTGCTCAAGGATGTGTTCGAGGAGAGCTTCGAGTGGGCCCGCGTGACGGCCATCTGTGTTCTGCCCAATGCCCGAGCCCGCACCAAGGTCAACTACGTCTATTCCGCTGCCAATTATGGTGGCTCTAGCAGCGGCAGCGGCGGCGGCGGCTCGCATGCTGGCTCCAATCAGACCAGTGGCAAATTTGGCAGCGTCAATGCCCAGCATATAACCTCCACATCCACACTGCGCGCGGGCGTGGTGGGGTCCAAGATTGTGCTGGGCGTCAGTGTGCGCCAGAGCAGCGGCGAGGTGGCCCTGCGCATGGTGGTGCTGAATATTGTGGAGGTGTATCGCCAGAGCGAGACCTCGGCCAGCGTGAGCAACGACAGTGGCAGCGTCTCCAGCGTTGGGGGAAATCTCAAGAAGACCTCTTCACATATCGGTACCGGAACCAGTAAGTATTCTGCATATACGATGATGTATGGAAGGAGATTGAAGGGATATTTAAAAACAATTTCCATTTTCCAGCCTCCTCGAGTGATGCCAACTGTGGGGGCGTGGGAAACGTCACCCAAGCGAATCTCGAGTCCAAGGACGATGACAACAAGGCCATGACACCGTACGAGAAATTCGCCGATGGCTTCGATAGCAATGGCTTTGTGTCCGCCTTGATGACCTACAACAAGAACAATGGCGCCAGCCAGCCCATGGACGATGCGTCCGTCTTGTATGACTTTGATCTGTGCACTCTGTCGCAGATACTCGATCATAATCTTGAGGATCCTCTTGGCGGTCTGATGGTCACCTCAAACACCGTCAATGTGGGCAATCTTCCTGCCATGGGCAATGACATGGACAAGCTTGTCGACGATGCCGAGATGACGCATCAGAATATCAACAACAACAACAATAATAACAACAACAACGATGGCAACTCTTTGGGCGGCAGCACCAATAACAACAATAATAACAACAACAACATAATGCTAAATGGAAGCAACAGCAGCAGCGACAAACTGATGGCCAGCGAGGAGATCGAATGTGTCGTCGAGAGCTGGACCAGCGTGAATCGCACGAATGCCTTGGATGGGGGGGCGGGAAGCGGCGAGAACGGTGACGTTGCCAGTGCGTCCCAAGAGATCGTTGAGATAGCCGAGATAATGCCCTCAACACCGAAATGCAACCAGCTGCTGGTCAAGCTGTTGCGCACCAAGGCCCCAGAAACGGAGGGCAGTAAGATCATTATGGCCACGGTGGCCAAAGAGGATGAGGAGGAGGAACAGGAGGCAGACGACCGCATGGATACGGGTACATTTTTTCCTTCACTTTTCACAACTAATTCCATTTGAAAGTTACCTTTCGGCTCCCTTTTATAGACAACAATGACGATGGCAGTGTGGCCGCTCAGCTTTTACTGTTCGACTACGAGGATCAGCAGATATCGCATGACTACACCCTGGCCATGACCTTCAGCCGGGCCAAGTGTCCCAAACAGCTGTGCGTCCTGCCCAACTTCAACTCCGCCCCGGAGCACAAGGATGTGGGCGCCATTTGTGTGGTGTGTGCCGATGGCAGCGTGGAAATCTACTCGCTGGCAGACTTCCAGGCCACCACAGTGATCGAGCAGGAGGGCGAGCACTTTGAGTCTGTTGTCTACTGCCGCAACATGGACAGGCTGTGCTGTTGCTCCCGCCAGGGCGGTTTGCTCTTCTACTCGCTGAACGAGGGCGACAACGATTCCGGGGACGAACTGCTCGAGCTGGAGGACGAGTGCAGCACAACCCTAACGCAGGCGCAGGCAGGAGAACTGAGTGTCACAGATGGCACTGGTCGCCCTATGGCGATCGGTGCCGAGCAGCACGGCAAGCTGTTGACCGTGAACGATAGCATAAGTGTGGATGTGGGCACCGAAACGGGGGCATCCACATCGGGAGCTGCCGCCACACACCAAAGTGTCCACGTCCACACCTCGCCCTCGGCCCAGTCGATGGGCTCGAACAATGCCAACTTTCTGGCCTACAAAACAAGCGACTTGACGCTCGACGATCTGCGCGTGCTCCATGCCCTCACGCAGTTCGATGACAAGCTGACCCTCTACTCGGCGGAAGTGCCCAGCTGCTGGAACGATCTGGGGCAGGTGCAGAAGCAGCGCAAGCAGTCCCAGAACATGCGGCATGGCGGCGATGAGCGTGACTACACGCGCACCTGGCGATTGCACAACGATGCGTAAGTCCCCAAAAGGATACACTCACCCAAACACTGCTCAAATATCGTTTCTCTTTGCCTCTCAGTACCACTTGGGACGAGCACATCATTGAGCTCAATTTGGCACAGCCCGTGTCTCTGGGTCACATTGATCTGAAGTTCACGGTGTACCAGCAATGCTCCAATCCGGCGGCCATCCAGGTCACCCTGCTCAAGCAGAACACGAATGGCTTTGGCTATCGCATGAAGGGACCGCATGCCAGCTACAAGCCGAATGTCATTGACGACAACATTGATCTCTCCTACAGTATGTGAAACACACCACCCACCCCCCGGCCCTGGGATAGCTAAAACTCTCTGTGAAACTTTGTTTGTGATTTGCAGTTGCCAATGAGAATCCCGTACTCAGCGAGGAATATCTACTGGCCCACAATGCAGAGGTTCTGGCCGGTCCCATCGAGCTCTCGTCCTGCATTGATGTCTGCGATCAGGGGGGCACGGCAACGCTGACCTCGCCGAAGCTCTTCAAGACGCGTACCCGTAACTTTTTGCTGCACATCAAGACAGTGGCAGATCCATCCAAGGAGGGACAGACCAAGACGAGGGGTATGTACCACTGACCGGCTTGTAGATGAGTCGCAAGAAATATGATCCATATGTCATTCAGTTTGTGGCAGTGAAAGATTCGTTTACGAGAGTCGCGCTTTGCACTACAAAAATGTACCTAAGCTCACATCCGACTCTCTTTCGTTGGTTTGCTGGGAATATTGTTTTGATGCGGGATAGCATGGATTTTGAATGCTGTAACAGTTGTAGTTGTTGTTGTAGTTTTTGTGGTTTTCCCTTTTTCGTTAAACTTTGATTTTGATATAATTTTACAGCATCCCCTCTGAAACGGCACAAGCGCCGACCCCATCATATAGAGATGTTGGTTAAAGACCAAAAATCAAATAAGCATTCGAATCCAATCCCTAAGAGTCCGGCGTCTGAGTACGAATTGAAGACGGCAGCTCTGAAACTCGAAAGCCAAAGCCATCTGCAAGTCACACTTAAGAAAATCCAAAAAGCCGGCTTAAAAATCAAACATTTGAACAAGTTAAAGGTGATCAAAACAAGCGTTGACGATGGAGCTAGTGCTTCTTCTCAAGATCCAAGCGAAATGCTTTCAGAACAAACTTCGCCAGAGCCGCCGCCCGATTCTCTTGTTTCTGGGGAACTGATTAGGGAAGGTATTTGTACTTTCTCATTAGCAATCATTTGCCAATCATTTATCTCGTCTGGCGGGTTCCCTTCTCATCCACTCCCTCTCTCTCTGTCTCTCTCTCTCTCTCTCTCTCGACAGGCTGCGACTGGCTGCACGAGATCTCCATCAGCGTGAGGGCCGTCAAGTCGCAGAGTCGCATCAGCAATGCGAGAATGCAGCGCATAGCCATGCTGGAGAGCAATGGTTTAATGGAGCAGCTGCTACGCATTGCCAGCGATTCGGGATCCACGCCGCTGACCAAGAACCTGGCCCTCGACATCCTCAACTGGATATGTTTCATTCGCCTGAACCGCTTCCGTTCGCCCAAATCCGAGCGGCTAAAGGATCAGATCAACAAGCAGACGGCAGCCAATATACCCGATCTGCTGGCCCAGCAGTTCGAGTGCGTTTCCCTGGCCGAGAAGCATATTGAGCAGCTGATGAGGAACTGCATCATCTACAGCGAGCGCAGCACGGCCCACAAGTGCTCCAAGCTGATAATAATGCTTACAGAGTGAGTATTCATCTGACCAGAGCATCATACTGAATCTACAACTGCATCTACCTCTGTAGGGGCGTCACCAATCTACCCACGGAGCTGCAGCTCTTTACCACGCTGGACTACACCATTAAGGAGGCCATCACAAATACCTTCCACGAGCTGCCCCGTGCCCAGACCGGCAGTGTTGTGCGCTGGTATACCATGCTCACGTGCGCCACATCCACCGCGGAGTCGAACAACAGCATATCAGAGCAGGCCATCAATTTGCTGAAGGAAATAGCCGGGGAGATAGACAAGCGCTGGGATCCCTGCTGCGCCCTGTTGAGCACACGCTTTGGCCTCTACGGGTTCCCCTTCGAGCCGGAGATCTTTGACTTTGATTTCCCCAATCTCAATCGGCACGGCATCAGCTCCCCCGTGGCCTTGACGAATGTGATACGCAGCAATTCGGCGATCCTCAAAGTGACGGCACTGGACATTAAGCGTTTGAGTTCGATTGGTAGGTTGTGCGATACTGGGCCTTGGAGTTGATTGAAATCTGAAATCCCTTTGCAGATGGCGTCGACTTTCGCACTTTTCCCTATCTAATACGAGGCAAGAGCATCAGCAATCAGCTGCGCGGCCTGCTCGAGGTGGTCCAACTGCATTTCAGTTGTGTGCAAACGTCGGAGGCCACTCGCATCGACAACATTGACAGTGTGGGTGGCACAGCGGCCTCCAGTCTAGTGATTGACGATGTGATGATACCCAAGCTGGTGGTGGCCAAGGAAAAGAACGATGATGTGGTAGGAAGATGGACACATTTCAACAAAATATTTGTATATCTAATGCCTTTGTTGCTCAGCAGCTGAACGATCTGGTCAACGATGTGGAGTCCATGGTGGAGGAAATCACCGAAAAGGAGGGAAAGATCGACTTTGATTCGTTCGGCATGGTCAATGGCTTCAAGGATAAGTCTGTTTCCTCGCTCACCGACCTGGAGCATGCCCTCAAGGAGGAGGTGAAGAACGAGAAGGCTGCCATTTTGGACAAGCTGAAGCTGTCACAGTTCCTGCCCGACCTGTCCCTGCTCGAAAGCTATATTCTCAAGAAGCAACAGTATGCCATGGTGGCTTCCAGCAAACTGGACAACTGGGAAATGGCACCGACATCCAAGACTCAGTTGGCACTGGATACCTTGAAGCCCTTTGCTGGAATGTTGCCGACACAGGAACAGGCAGCTGCAGCTGCTGGAGCAGACCCAGCCCCAGCCCCAACAGCGCCACAGCAGGCAGGAGTCGCAACAGGCGGCACAGGGGGGACTGGCGACAGCACTGTCGTTCTAGATGATGCCGCCGAATCCGAAAAGATTATGGAAAATCTCAGCGCTAATCCGTGTCAGCCGATTGCCTGGCACAAGCTGATCACGCCGCCGCCCAAACAAATGATTATTATCGATCGCATGCACTCTGGTGCGAGGCGGTTCGTGGTGCTGGACTTTGGCCAGCACATCCTCCTCACGGACGTGGTGATACCCCCCTGCGACGAGCTCACGTCTCTGAACATCGACATCTGGTGCTTTGACGAGGAGACGGACTGCACGCGTCTCGTCCAGATGGCGGATATCCAGACCAAGACGCTGGTGTTGAGCGACATACAGCCGCCGCCGATCTGTCGCTTCCTGAAGGTGACCATCATCGGGCGCATCGGGATGTCGTCCACCAAGTGCAAGGTGCCGCTGGGTCGGTTCTTTGGCCATCCCGTTGTGCTCGAGCACGACGGCTATGGGGATCAGTTAATGCGCTTCATCAAGCAGCCCAAACAGAACCTTCAGGCACAGCTCAAGTCGCTGAATGCCCTGTACGAGGACGTCCACTGTCGCTACAGTTTGGCCAGCACCAAGCTGATGGATGTCCTGGCGCCCATGCGCCACAGCGAGCTTTCGAATGTGGCCCATCTGCAGGCGTTCATCAACAAGCAGCGCGACGAGGAGCTCGGCAACCTGGACAACAGCAACAAGGTGGTGTCCCTCTACGACGAGTGCATGCTGCTCCAGTACCAAATCAATGTCATCCGGAACGTGGTGCTGCGCCTGGAGCGCGCAGTCAATCCCCATTTGGTGTGCACGCCCCCTCCGAACTCGGGTCCGCTCACAGAGGAAACGCTGCGTACTGCCTCGCGGGACAAGCTGCGTGTCCTCAGCCTCACTTTGGTGGAGGTGCTGCTGCACTTCTCCATCGAATACGGCATCAAGAACATCCTGCCCGTCTATCAGCGCTTCAATGCGGCCACAGCCAAGGCTCTGTTCAACTCCCTGGTGGTCTATGGCGATGCCCAGCTGCAGCTGGCCACCTGCTCCCTGCTGGTGGTTATGTGCTGCTTCCAGCCGTGGTGGGGAGACTTCCTGGCCGAGACCTTTTGCAGCCTCTTTTCCGCACAGAACTGCAAGGCCTTTCCACAGGATCGGTTCGTATTGCCACGCTGCCACTCCCACTCGCTCTAACTCTTCTCCTGTTCTGCAGCATATTCTTTCTGCTGACGTATCTGGGACGCCGCAGCATTGGAATGGGCGCCTGTCGCTCGATTGTGATTGATGCCGTGCTCAAGACCCTCCTGAAGCTGCTGGCCCCCATTTCGCCGCACTACAAATTCCAGTCGGAGCAGCCGAGCACATCGGCCAGTGCCTCAGAGCGTAGCGCCAACATGGGCAGCACATCCGATCTGCAGCTGATCACCTGGCTGCTCCTCTTCCTCTCCGTGTGTCTGGACGACAACGAGCGCAAGGATAAATGTGAGTTCTTCAAACCAAAAGGCCGATCAATCAAACGTTTCATTTTCCAGCTGCCGCACGATGGGATTTCATGAGCTGCGAGAGTGACTTCACCAAGACACGGCCCAACAATGTGCCAAACAGCAAACAGTTGCGCTGCTTCAAGAAGCGCATCATCCAACAGAGCAAATACTCCGTTCAGCCCTACACGGACTGGGGCAAGAAGATATACATGATTCAAAACGAGGTAATAACAAATGTAAGCTGCCAGCGGGTTTAACAAGGGAGAATCTATTGGGAATAACCATATTAACGATGAATCTTGTCTGCAGCATCCTGGCATATTTATGGAGCTCTCCACCAAAGCCAAGAGTGGCGCCACCAAAACCCAGACAACAGCCACCAAGATCAATATGGCTGCGGCCAATATGTTTATGGGTAGTGGCGGCCTGCCAAGTGGCAGCAGTGCCACAAAGACTGCGGCCACGTCCACGTCCTCGACATCGTCGCCCAAGCATGCGGATAGCGGCGGAGGAGGATCCTCTGGCAGCGAGACCGAGCGCGACAGCAACTTTGACAAGGGCCTCAAGACGCTGCGAATGGCCAATATAAAGGTCGTGATCCGTGGTCTGTTTGCCCTGCTGCTGGAGATGGACTTTGACTGCAATATGGATCAGTTTCTGCTCACCTGCAAGGTGATTGCTCGCCTGGTGGCCGCCTGCCGTCCCTCAGTGCAGCTGTGCAAGATTGTGACCACCGCGCAGCTGGAGCAGCTCGTACGCCTGGCCGTGTGGAACGATCAGCAGCAGCCCTGGGCTGTGCACGCCATCACATGTCTGCTGCAGGATCTGCTCGATGCGGACAAGCAGTACCGGGACAGCGATGTGACGCCCACCAACGATGCACCGCCCCGGCCCATGGAGCCAGAGGTGCAGGAAGCCCGCGATCTTTTCAGTGATTTTACATGTACGTATTCTCAGGGCAGCCTCTAGTTCCTCCTAGTGTTCCAATGTTCTCCGAATTGTGCATGTGTATACCCTCAGTCTCCCAGTCCCCAAGTCCCCTAGTCCCCTCGTCCCCTAGTCCACCAGTAGATAGATCTCTCTCTCAATTTGTAAATTGAAAGCTCAGTAGCAAGAATCAACATATTTTTCATCTTTTTAGCATCGTCTTCCTCATGCTCCGAGGCACAGTTCGAGATGCTAATGCCGACAGCTCGAGAGTTTTATCAGGAGGGTAAAAAACCAAAGACATTTAATTTATTATGGCACCAACCACCTGGCATGGCATGTCACCCACTCACCCACAATATCTATGGATATTTAGGGGGTTGCTCTGCCCTGCCATGTGGTTGGATTTATAGAACGAACCCCGAATCCCAACGCCATCCCACTAGAGACTATACAATTGCCAAGATGTTGCCAGTTTTGTGGTGATGCCCTGTAGAAAAAGGATATGCTATGCTATGCTTCGTCTCTGATCGCGGTCCCAAGAAACCAATAACAAAGCACAGTCTCTGGCGAGGCGCAGAAAAAAGACTTAATTCTCGGTCCAACGCTCATCATTCGGTCCCAAGAAACCAAAAACGAATTCCTGAGGAAAGACACAGCCAATTGATGCTCGAAATGAGGCGAAGGGATAGCCCGAAAGAGAAACGAAGCGCCGGTACGAAAAGGAATTTGTTCCTGAAGCAATATCTTGGCATTTTATAGTCTCTGATCCAATCCAACCCAACCCGTAGATCTGTTTATTGTTTCCTCCCCCGTACTATTTGAGTTTTGTATCTTTGAACCACGGATCTATGCGCATGATCTAACAGCTGTGTCTTCTACAGCCGTTAAATACAACTACTTGCCCTCTTTGATCGAATGCGATGATGCGGAGTTCGACGACATGCTCAACGACATCGACATGATCGAGCGCACAAAGCCGGTGACCAAGAAGGAGAGCAATGCCCTGTGCAAGAACACCTTTAACTTCTTCTGCAAGTCCATTTCGGTGGCTATGGACTCGCGGCTGGATGTGGGCCTGGAGCTGCATGTGGAGACGCAGCTGAGACGCCTCACAAATCGCACCTCCCTGGACCTGTACGCCTCCCTGCCGCAGGTGCTGACAAACGAGTTTGTTTCGCCGCCGCCCGAGGCGGCCCCCTGGCCAGAGTACTTGACCCAGCTGTGGTCCGGATCGGAGTACAATGGTCGGAACACGTACGTGATGTTCAAGAACGTCTTCGACTCGATACTGGCCGATCTGCACTACGAGGACACGTGGGTGCATCTGGAGCAGGTGCTGCAGATGTGGCTGACGCTCAACTGCGAGCTGGCCGAGAAGCCTTACACGACGGGCATCTCCCAGACGGACGTGCCCAGAATACCGTTCGGCGCGAATGCCGTCCAAGGACTGCTGCTGGCCCTGGCCTGGCACAACGACATCAAGCTGCGCACCTGGTGCCTGGGCTTCCAGTGCCTGCTGCTCGCGTGCAACTCCCAGCCGATCGGGGACGATGCCGACTGCACGCGAATCAATGAGGTGATTGTGAATGACGAGAACTTTGAGAAGATGCTGCTGCGTTTCTTCTCTGGCTACGGCATGAGCTCATCCATAATCACGAATCGCTGTGTATGTATCTGATCTGTATATCGTTCATCATGGTTATTTAATCTCTTGTGCATCCTCCTGTTAGGCTGGACCCACCATTTGCAAGCATCTGCATGATCTACTGCTGTGGCTGCATGGCAAGACCGACAGCAGTGGAATTCCCTGCAAACGCCAGCTGAAGGACATCCTGCTGCATGTCGTGCTGCAGCTGGTGCAGCCCGGAGGGGCCATTAGCAACCAGCAGGGCCCCATAGATGCCCAGAATCAGTTGGTGCGCGACCTGCTGATGATGCCCACCGACAAGGGAGATTTAAACATAGCCCTCAAGATCACCGAAAGTGTTTGTGAGTGTCTCTAAGCAACGCACCTTTCCTTGGACTTGTGTTTGACATACTTCCCGTCTGATTGCAGCTTTCCTGGTCTTCAACAACATTTCCAATGGCGAGAAACTGCAGTGCCAGCGTGGCAATGAGAGCAACAATCCCGGCAACAACTTTAGCAATCTGTTCGCGAATGTCCTGGGCTCGGAGAATCCCATCAAGCAGAATGCCACAATATGCGACAATTCGCTGATCATAAATCTGCTTCGATTGTCCTCTCACATGGTGCTCACCGAGATGCCCAGGCAGCCAAGCGTAAGTGTCCTCTGAAGTGCCCTCTAGAACCTAGAACTCTGATTTGATTCATTGCCGATTGGTATATGCAGGAGGTAACTATTCCCGAGGAGGAGGAGGAGCTCTCCACTGAAAGCCAGACGGATGAGACCAAGGCAGAGCAGCTGAACACGGAAGGGCATCGTAGCAAAGTGCCCTGCATAGCCGATTGGGGTATGATTTTCCCGCTTTTCATGTGTCAATTTCCCTCTTTAATTGAGAATACCATTCGATTTTAGTGCTACGCCAGTTCCCAACGATGAAACGTCTCTTTGGCACGCTCTCCCAGTGCTCCACGAATACGTTCACGATGATGTCCTCGGGTGGCTTTCTGTTGCTCAAGTCGAACACCGTACTCGATGATCCCCAGACGATTGCCGACGCCGTCTTCAGTCTGATGATAACACTCAGCGACAAGGCCTCCAATCCGCGACTGGTAGTGGCGCCCATCTGCCAGTACCTCGAAGAGAGTAAGCTTGTGGTTTTTCCTCCGCTACCAAGATAGACCTCTAATGATTCTCATCGATATGCAGCCACCATTCAGCGGAATGCAACGCTGCCGCGTCTGCCGCTGTCGGAGCCCTTCCTGTGGTACATCTCCAAGGTGCTAGAGGTGACGGCAGCCGTGCAGACCTTCACCCAGCTGGGCGGCATACACATTATCTGCCACAATTTGGTGCGGCTCAATAAGACGATCATCAACATGCAGCCAGGATTGGTAATTATCTGCCGTTTAGCGGATCTTTATTTTACTCAAAGCATCCTTTTTGTCTGTTGAATAGATCTCGCTGATTATGCAGCACATGACGCGGAATACTCGCCTCAAGCTGAACACCCACATGGCCGCCAACAGTGCCTGCAAGAAGACCACCACCAGTACGGGCGCCACATCGGCGCCTGCCACCCAGCATCCACCGCGCAGCGGGGCCCAGTACGACGGGCTCATTAATTTCGCCCCCTTCTCGCACATCGTGTCCGAGAATGATGCGGCCCAAAGCGCCGAGGTGCTCATATCGAATCCGAATGCAACGCACAGGCGTCCGCGCTCCCCGGCCTGGAGCTACATGTTCTACCCGAACGAAACGCATGTCGATCTGACCATCACGCTGCCCACCGCCATTCTGCTGAAGGAAGTGCAACTGGTGCCGCACACCTCCAATCTGGCCTCCTGCCCCTCAGCCGTGGCCCTCGAGCTGTCGCGCGACTATGGCGTGGGCTCCATTCCAATAGGTGCGCCCATGGCCACCACAGGACTCACCTGCATCCGCCTCAAGCTGTCCAAGGCGGAGGTGGCCACCAGCATTGTGATCAGGCTGTACAAGTGAGTAGCGAATGGCTGGAGCATGGAACAGACTGGATTATAATGGATTGGTTTCTTGCTTTGCAGACCCAAGGACTGCGGGAACGTGGGTCTGGTGCAGATTGCCGTGCTCGGCCAGACAATATTCGGTAATCGCATGCAAGGGCTGCGCTCGCAGGGGCCGTTCATGGACTCGCTGACGTCGTGCTCGTCGCCGCTGCAAACGGCTGCCATGTCCACCATAGACGCCGATGCCATGCCGGAGGATGATGCATTTGCCAAGACCAGCATTGGCTGGGTGCGCATCCTGTCGCGTTGCTTCCATATGGCCGCCCTGCAGCCCGACACGAAGCTGGCCGATCTGATTGCCGCCTATCCGGCATCCTATCCGGGCTTCCTGGAGGCCTGCTGCTCGCTGCTGAATATCATGCCCATGATTCCGAGTCTCGCACAGCAGCATCTGGAGACCATACTGCTCAAGCTGGGCGCCTACAATCACGAGCTTAGTCTGCAGCTCCTACGAACGCTGCTGTGGCACACCACGCCCCAGGGTGAGTAGAGTCTCTGTCTCTGCCTCTCTGAAGATTACATTTCTTATTCGTTTTCTGTTTGTTGTTCAGTCTTTAAGCTGTCCAGCGATGCTGTGTGCGATCTCATCCACGAGGTGGTCACTGGCTCCTCGACGCATCTGCTGGACAAGCTGCGCGTGCTCATCGACTGGATCATGCAGCTGCACGACAACTACAGCAAGCAGGCGCGCTGCAATAACCCTCAGAGCGGCTTCGTCAAGGTCATTGCCTCGATCCTGTGGCGGGTGCACGTCCAGTATCAGCTGCCAGAGCTGCCGCAGCTGATCACCTCGGCCCTGTTCGAGACCTGCTTCGAATGGGTGTCGGTCCTGGAGCAAGATGAGCCCCTCAAGAGCAGCTTCGATTCGCTGCTCTGTGCCCTGTGCTTCATCAAGCCGGAGCTGTTCAATCAGCTGCTGGTCAAGCTGGGCGTAAAGCTGGAGCCGCCGGCTCGTGGCCAGACCGACGACAGCAAGGTGCAGAGCGGCAGCGCCTGGTTCCGCCGCGAGGGCAGTGAGAATCTGATGGTTCTCCTGGAACGTCCCACATTCCTGAAGACGCTGGCCCTCGCCTGCCAGTCCCCGGCGGCTGTCTACCAAATGCTGGACTCTGGCCTGCCCAAGCTGTTGGCCCACGCCGTCTACGAGTACTGCACTCATCTGCTGGCGGGCTTGGAGCAAGAAGCTCCTTCCCTAGCTGCAGCTCCGGCTCCAGCTCCAGCTCCAGCTCAGGCGGCGATGCCAACTGATGGCCAGCAGGGCTCGTCGTCCCTCACGGACTTTGACAAGGCGGAGGCGCCACCAAGTGCCAGCCCACCGAATCTCAACACTCCGCTGCTGAGCAGCTCGGTTGTGCCCAAAGTGCTGGACTTTTTCGCCGAGTGCTGCGCGGAGGGACCCATGCGGAACTGGCTGGGCACGATGCAGGGCTCTGTGTTCTGGAAGCCGCTGCTGCAGCTCCTGTGCCACACACACTCGTCGCAGTTCAGCAAGACGCTGCCCATGCAGCAGTCCTTCATTCGCCTAGAGCGCTCCACTATCAACTTTCTGACGCGCGTGAGTGCCTGCCATCCGGAGAACCAGGAAGTGCTCACCTCCCTCCTCATCGGCGCCATCATCTGCAAGCCGCTGCGATCTGTCCAGGGCACTCGCCCCACCATCTCCGGATTCACGCGGCAACTGGTGCTGCAGCTGCTGCTGGAGAACGAGCACATCACCGTCGCTGTGCGCAGTCAGCATCCACTGCAGCGCCGGGACACGCTGTCCGCCATTATGGGTGGCGGTGGGTCTGGGTCTGGCTCTGCGGCCTCGAACAGCATCAGCAGCACCAGCCTGCCGGTGGCGGCAGTCAACAATCATCCGGCCAAACGCAGCAGTGCCCACTATATGCTCTTCAATGTGACCACGAGCACGACCTGCCAGGAGATTCTCATGAATTGCGTTAGCGGTAGGTCCTGGCCCTGAAACAGAATCTCTTTTGCTTTGATGTTGTTTGATTAATTATGTTTTTATTTATTTATTGTATGCCCTGCCCTGCCCTGCCCTGCCCTGCCCTGCCCCCTCCAGCTTATAGTAACTTAGTTTACACTACATCAACAGATCCGCGCGCTAGCGAGCCCTCAGGCAGTGGCAATGGAAACGGGAGTGGCAGTGGTGGCACGGGTGCCCCAGGAGCCGCCGTAAGTTCCAAATTCGTCAATCCCAAACAGGACAAGAACTGGGACAAGAATTGCTATATCAATCTGAGCAATGTGGATCTGAGCAGCCTAGAGTTCCTGAGCGTGGGTGCCGCCGTGGCGGCCAAGGACAAACGCATCAAAGATGCCAAAAACCTGCTGGCCGTTAACAAGGACAAGGAGACGCAGACAACCAGCTCGACTTCCAGTAAGTCTCCAAATTCTGGTCCCCTTTTGAACACCGTCTTTTAATGGTCTATTTTCGTGTTTAGATGTGTTCAATGTCGAGGAGTTTCTGTTGCAATCGAATTGGTCCAAGAAAAATCAGCTGGTCATTGCGGACTATCCCAACGTAGTGCTATCTGGTGATGCCACAATCTCCCAGGTGCTGGCCACACTAGAGGCGGCAGGCCACTCGCTGGCCATACCGTGCCTGACCCTGGATCTGGTGCCCCTCCAGCATGGAGACGAGACCATCGACGACAAGAAGACAAAGGCAGCCTGCACAGAGCCACTGCCATCGCCACTGCAACGCTTCTCGAGCAACGGTGGCCTCTCGCTGCTGGCCCACTATCTGCCCACTGTGTATCCGGAGCATTCGGGCCGCAAGACCGTGATGATGGTCACCGAAAAGGAGAAGAGTCCCCCACTGGCGGACTGGGTGAAGCTGGAGCCAAACGATGAGATATACGAGGATCTGGAGGACACCATTTGCGAGCCAGTGGCCAAGCAGACGCCCGTCAGCTCAGTGCCGCAGCATTCGCTGGCCGCCTTTGGACTGTTTCTTCGTTTGCCCGCCTACTCCGATGTCCTGCTGAGGGACAAGCTGCGGGCCCAGTGCCTGTTGCGTTTGGTTCTGGGCGTGACAGGCGACGGCGAGGGCAGTAAGTATATTTTCAATCGGATAAATATCCCGGAAGCTAATCGCATTCCGTCCCCTAGATGACATCTATAGCCTCTCGCTGGCACCCTCGCTGCCCACGCTGCCCTTTGAGGTCTTCCGCCAGCTGCTGGACACTGTGCCGCTGTCCACCGACGATGGAATGCTGCTCCGCCGCGTGGTCATTGAGGTGGGGGCCATGCACCTTGTCCTCAATTGTCTGGGCATCTTTTCGCATCAGTCGCACAACAACAGGATTGGGGCACCGATCAACCAGCCCTCGCCGAGTGGCAGTGCCAGCGGCGGTGGAAACGGAAGCACAACCACAACAACCACGAATGGAACCGCCGCTGGGGCCAAGAGCAGTGGAGGGGACGAGCCCACGCCCAGTGGCACCTCGGACGACAAGAGCCACATGTATTGGGCCAAGGGAACAGGCTTCGGCACCGGTTCCACCACACAGTCGTGGAACGTGGAGCAGGCCCTGCTGCGCCAGAAGAGCGAGGAGGAGCATGTCACCGTGCTGCTGTTGGTGCTGGCCAGCTACATCAATCCGGGCGACTGTATACCCAGCGAGATGTGCGGCGAGGACATACTCGCCTACCACGATGTGCGCGACGTGCCCGGGGAGCTGCCCGCTCTGTTCCAGACCCTGCTGCAGCAGTCGTGCTTGATTCCCGCCCTGAGCTCGTATCTGCGCAACGATTCCGTTCTGGACATAACTCGACACATTCCGCTGTATCGTGCCATACTGAAGCTGCTGCGCGCCCTCTCGCTGTCCAAGTCTCTCGTCTCGCTGCTCCAGCCGGCGCCCAGCGCCTGCGGCGAGGGCACACAATCCATCGCTGAGCTGCTGACGAACATGAAGACCTGCGTGGACACGTATGCCAAGCGTCTAAAGTGAGTAGAATACCAGTAGTATATCAATCCCCCCAATCGATTCCATACTTAAACTTCGCGCTTTGCAGAGTCAACAAGAAGTCGAACATCAAGGGCCAGACGCAGCAATTGACATTCAACATTGACGATGGCGATGACGAGGGACTGGCACTGCTCATACCGGACATACAGGAGACGAGTGTGCTGGTGCAGAAGACCACCGATGCCGATGCCCTGATCAACATGCAGAGCAGCAGCGAGGACGGCAGCGGCCAGCTGGAACGTCCCTTGAGCAAGTCGGTCGAACAGCGCTATTTGGAGCTGATGAAGAAGCGGCAGTTCGACACGTTCGACATGATTGTCGAGTCGGAGAACAATAGCTTTCGGTTTGTGGTGTCGCATCATTTTGAGAAAATGGTGCGACTGGCAGGCGATCGCTATCATCCGTCGCGGGTTAAGCGGCTGGCTCAAGAAGCGGTCACTCTGTCCACCAGTCTGCCTCTGAGCTACAGCAGCTCTGTATTTGTGCGCTGTGATACGGACAGATTGGATGTGATGAAGGTGAGTGCATTCCCCTCCGCAAAATCAATCGGAAAATACTCATTGTGATGGATCCTTGTAGGTGCTCATTACTGGGCCATCGGACACCCCGTATGCCAATGGATGCTTCGAGTTCGATGTCTTCTTTCCGCCAGACTATCCCAATCTGCCCATGCTCATCAATTTGGAGACCACGGGCCGCCATTCGGTGCGTTTCAATCCCAATCTCTACAACGATGGCAAAGTGTGTCTGTCGGTGCTGAACACCTGGCATGGGCGTCCCGAGGAGAAGTGGAATGCGCAGACCTCCAGTTTCCTGCAGGTGCTAGTCTCCATCCAATCGCTGATCCTAGTCCCAGAGCCGTACTTCAATGAGCCTGGCTTTGAGCGCAGTCGTGGCACTCCTAGTGGCACCAACTCGTCGCGGGAGTACAATAGCAACATCTATCAGGCCTGCGTTCGCTGGGCCATGCTCGAACAGATACGCAATCCGAGTCCCTGCTTCAAAGACGTAAGGCTTCATCTCTGTCCAGCTTTCAACTTTCAACTAATTTCCGTAACTAAACTCTTTTCGCAGGTCATACATAAACATTTCTGGATGAAGCGCGAGGAGGTCTGCACACAGATCGAGGGCTGGATTGAGGAGCTTAGTAAGCCCCAGTACACAGAGCGGGCTAGCCGCACCATATCGTTTAACTCTATGGTTCTGCGTCGACACTATCGTCACTTGCGCGAGGAGCTGGCCAAATTGAAGCCGCCACGCGGACTGGAGGATCTGGATGCACCTTTCAATCCTGTTGCCACGCTGCCCCCAATGGATGTCTCCGCGGCGCCAGCTGCCACAACCACAGCAAATGTCCAGGTGGGAACGGATGGTCCTATTGTTCCGGAACTGAATCTAATAACAGATGATGGGGACGACAGCGACAATGGCCCTTGCATCCTGGATCCAGTGTCGGGCGTCCTCAAAGGCGTGGAGGAAGTGGTTGAAATTCTGAGTGATACAGAGAACGAGAGCAGTGTTTGGCAGGAGAAGGAAGAGGAGGAGGAGGACGAAGGCGACGTCGACGGCGATGGCGATGGCGACGGTGATGGCGAGGAGGAGTAAGATTAGCTGCCCAATGGAAATGATAGTGATGCCCTAGGTTATGGCATTTCCCCTGCAGCTGTTTCCCCCCCACCTCCCGCCACACACTCCCCACCTTTGTGCCCGGCCACTGCCCAGACACAGGACACTTTTATTTAAACACTACAATTTTTGTTTTGCGCCATTAGTTGTTTTATTTGTAAGAGAGAGACTGCAACAGAACTTGGTGTGCTTTACTTAAAGGAACCGTAACGATTAATGTTAAAAAAAAACAAAACCTATGATAATGATCTTCAAGAATAAGCTGGTACATTTGCATCCACACATCGTCAAACTCGTACACACATGCATACGCACTCTCCCGGGCATTACGAGAGACTTTCAATTCAACAAAATATCCCACTCTGCATGTATATGAGAATACTGTACCGAATACACTGTACTCTTTTTTATAAATGCTTACTATATGATACTATATACAAAACAGATCCAATCCATCAGATTCGAGAAGAATATTCACGTGTGTGTTGGAGAAAAAAGAAGAACCACAGGAGGACCGGACCGTGTGACTTGCGTTGGAAATATCAGCACCGTGACCGAGTATACAACACACACACACAAGATAAACCACCAAAAGTAAATTAATGTGTATTAAACTATGTATGTGCGTAGTGATTTAGTTAAATATTTACAGATGAAGAATGTAAATGTTACTTTTCCGATTGAAATAAAACTCAAAATCAATTTTGTTTCCCCCAAAAAATCTAAAAAAAAGCAAAAAGTGTTTGTCTTTGTATTTGTATCGAAGTAACAAAGTTGATCCTTTTAAAGAAAATCATAATTCCATATCGGTTAATACTCAACCGAGCGAAGTAGCCCCAGTCCAATGAAATTAATTTTGTTGTTAAGTCCAAAAGTATGCCATACATTTTTGAAGCGAACATTTTGTATACCCTTGAAGAAGGTATTCATAAATTGGTTAGAACCGAACGGAATCATATGCGACGCCATAAAGTAATATACCTTCTTTATCAGGAATAATATGGTCGTCAATTTCCATGCAAACTAGTCACTCCGTTATGTACCTATCTCAAGAAAGTGTTGCACATAGTCCTGTTTTATAAATAAAAATATTATTGGTTGGAATCAGTGGTGTCTGACCACGATATCATATAGTTGCCATAGTTACGATGAGAAACTTTATCTTTGTACCAAAAATTTATATTTGTCCAAGAGGATTTTTTCAAAATTGGACCACTATTATCATACGTACATACATATGTTCATATGTGTATCAAGCTGCCATAGTAATAAAAGCAGACTGATTATTTTAGCCCCTTCTGGTCGTCAAACTTCAAAGGCATACTATACCGCTCAAAAGTTAGCTTCCTAACTTTCCCATTATCCCATTACTAAATGTTTTCGGCTGGATTCGAGAAAAATCTAAGACAATTATAGAATAAAAAAATATAATTAAGAACTATACAATTTGCACTACAAAGTGGCAATATTTGTTTGACTTTGTTCACAAGCTACAGCCATGGCCAACCAGTTGAAAATGAAAACGAAAGATAATTTATTTTTATCAAGCTTAGGTAATTTTTTGGGCGATATCTTTATAGGACATGGTTTGGCTGTTTTATAGGGTAGCATTTGCTACCATAAAACATTCTTTGCTTGTCTTTTCGTCGTGGCATTCTTCCGCTTCTTATCTGAGTCGTTATCCACAATCTTGATCTGATCTTTCCATTCTGGAAAATATACCAGATGACTTCAAGATCTCAGTTCATAAAGGGTAGGTAGGTATATAATTTGACCACAAAATCACTGGCTGATTTTTCTGTATCATTCTGAATTTCCCTTTAATTGTTCTTAGAAGTTAGCTCCGATGAGAGAATGCACCGCAATCAGCTGCTCTCCGATGCTTTCTATGGCCGTTCAATTGACGGCAATGCGCTCGCTATACTCTCCGATCCAACTGTGCACTCGATAGAGAAATTCGACAGCTTGCTGATAGATCTTCGCCATTCCGCCAAGGCATTGAGACGCGGGTCTCTGTCGCGAGCAGTTGTCGATTTTCGAGGCGGGATACCACTTAAGAGCGGTTCCTAGAGCTACCCCGTGCGTTCTTCTTGATTAGTTTATGGCGGGCGTAAAGTGTGAAATCGCCTGATCATGGAGTTGAACAATGTTACCGTCGAGGATAGCGCCTCCGTAAGTAATAATTCTGTGAGTTTTCGGCACCGACCTAGAGCAATTTGTCGTGTGCGTGGGTTTACATAAGAAAATGCGATTAGCCGTCCGTCCCGTGGACTCTGCATAATTGCTCTCAATTGTTGAAGCTTTTGCTCTGATATTTATCGGTTTTTGTTTTCTGTTTGCCATTGGCATTGCCCACCAAATCGAGGGGCAATGCTCGAGAATATAACACCAAGCAATTAACAGATCATTTAAAACAATTTGTTAATCGTTGCAGTACAAAAGTTGGGGTTCAAGTAATATTCCACTGTAATTTGTCATATTTTTTCGCAGGTCTCTCAGTAAACAATGTAGGAAATTGACAGTGTACTGATTTATCAACTATTCCAACTAATCAGCCATTAATTTATGGCCTGATTAAAACAATCTGGGTAGATGGTAGAACAAACCAGCATTCAGCATTAGGTATTCAGCATCCCATGGACCGTAGTCTGATACTCACGCTCAATTAATCACGATTGGCGAGCGTAGATGTCAGTCAAACTCGGGCTCCGATGAAAGGGGTCGCTGCCCACCGCCCCTGGGGGGCGGGGGACTCTTTTGAGCCATAAAGTTATGTAAATGAATGCAAGAATTTAATTGTAATGCTCATAAATAAAACAGTAAAACTTCCACACGGCGAGTGTACGGGAGAGTATAAAATCGGAATTGCCTGTTAGATGCTGGTACTCCCTAGCAGAAATGACTAATTAACATAAGTAAATAGATATTTTTGCATTAATAAAATATAATTATAGTATGTGATTACATTCATTTGCAGGGGGATGCGCACAATCGATCGCCGCACAATCGTGCGCCTCCGGTGGGAGCTACAGCCACAGCCACCGCCACATCCACACCCACACATGCCGAGAGGCAAAAGCCCCAACTGCTATATGCCATCAACGACAACCCGCCCTGGTATCTGAGCATATTCCTCGCATTCCAGCACTATCTGACCATGATCGGGGCCATTGTCTCCATCCCGTTCATACTGACGCCGGCGCTTTGCATGTCCGACGAGGATGCCAATCGGGGCATCATCATATCCACCATGATCTTCGTCACCGGCATTGTGACCTACTTCCAGGCCACGTGGGGCGTCCGTCTGCCCATTGTTCAGGGCGGAACCATCTCGTTTCTGGTGCCCACGCTCGCCATTCTCGCCCTGCCCCAGTGGAAGTGTCCTCCGCAGGCCGAGATGGATGCCATGGCCGAGGACGAGCGGCAGGAGCTGTGGCAAGTGCGTATGCGGGAGCTATCGGGCGCCATCGCTGTGTCCGCCATGGTTCAAGTCATCCTGGGCTACACGGGGCTGGTGGGCAAGATCCTCAAGTACGTCACGCCGCTGACAATTGTGCCCACTGTGTCGCTTGTGGGTCTGACGCTGTTCGAGCATGCGGCGGACACGGCCTCCAAGCACTGGGGCATAGCCGTGGGGTGAGTACTCCGAGATGTTTGCTTTTTTCCCACTCACCTATTCATGATCTATGCAGCACCACGGCCATGCTGACGCTCTTCTCGCAGATAATGTCGAATGTGTCCGTGCCCGTGGTGGCCTACCGCAAGGGTCACGGCTTTGAGGTGCGCCAGTTCCAGTTGTTTCGCCTGTTCCCGGTGCTGCTGACCATCATGATCATGTGGGGCCTGTGCGGCATCCTGACAGCCACCGATGTCTTCCCACCGTCGCATCCCTCACGCACAGATGTCCGCCTGAATGTCCTGATCAGCGCCAAGTGGTTCTACGTGCCGTATCCGGGTCAGTTCGGCTGGCCATCGGTCACGCTGTCAGGGGTTCTGGGAATGCTGGCCGGCGTGCTGGCCTGCACGGTGGAATCGCTGAGCTATTACCCGACTGTGTCGCAGATGTCCGGCGCCCACTCGCCTCCGCTCCATGCCATCAACCGGGGCATCGGCACTGAGGGACTAGGCACTGTCCTCGCCGGACTCTGGGGAGCTGGCAACGGAACGAACACGTTCGGAGAGAATGTCGGCGCCATCGGAGTCACTAAGGTTGGTACAGCGAGGCTTTTGGAAGGTTGACTTCTCCACTGATGGACTCATCTGCTTTCCAGATTGGTTCGCGTCGCGTCATCCAGTGGGCGGCGCTGATAATGGTCCTCCAAGGGGTGATCGGCAAGTTTGGGGCTATCTTCATTCTCATTCCTGATTCGGTGGTGGGCGGAATATTCTGCGTGATGTTCGGCATGATCATTGCCTTCGGCCTGTCCACGCTGCAGTATGTGGATCTGCGATCGTCGAGGAACCTGTACATCCTCGGTCTGTCCATATTCTTTCCCATGGTTCTCTGTCGCTGGATGCAGGAACATCCCGGTGCCATTGACACGGGCAACGAGACGGTCGACTCGACACTATCCGTGCTGCTGGGCACAACCATATTGGTGGGTGGTGTCCTGGGCTGCTTTCTGGACAACGTGATACCTGGCACGCCCGCCGAGCGCGGCCTCATCGAGTGGGCCAACGAAATGCCGCTCGGCGATGACAACATCAACGACGGCACGGCCACGGACTACGACTTTCCCTATGGCATGGATGCCATTCGCAGCTGGAAGTGGACCTACTACATACCCTTTATGCCCACCTACAAGCTCCAAAAGCAGAGCTGATTATCCCCACAGTCGGGCTCGATCGATGGGAACGCCAGAGAATAATAATGAATGCAATTCTATTTGTAATTCAGTTTTTATTATTTATTTTTAGAAAACGATGTTCTGTTCGTTCTCTCACGCCCTAATCTAATTACAATTTGAACACTTCCAATTCGCATTCGAATTCGGATTTCTACCCAAAACGAGCTAAAGATTTTATGTTTTTCTGTTTGTTTGTTTTTAAATTCGCTTATTTTTTGATTTGTAACTACTTTTTACTGTACGCTCTTCGTTTCCGTTTCCGTTTCCGCTTTCGCTCACAGTTATGCATATTTTCTATTATTTCGCAATAACATCAATAGACCTAGCAAACGAAAGCTTCTAACCACCAATTAAACTCTATTCAAATCTCGAAAACCATTTATAATCAGTTCGTTCTGTATAATGCAAAAAATTGGTGTTAAAATTATTTTGTAGAAATTTTAACGCATTTTCGGCGCGAGGCTTACACTCAAATCCTCCACAAAAATAGTATAGAAAATACATGTACAATATATATTTGTGAAACATATCCTCCATCCTTCTCTCCATCTCTGTGCGAGTACGAGTACGAGTACGAGTATCTCTGTATCTTTGTCTCTCATTCACACTTACAGTTAAAATCAACGTTATACGGCTATGGCTAAATCTAAAACCGTCGAGGAACCAAGGCACAATCATTTGAAAATCGTATATAATCGCATACACGATCTATTGCTGAAACTCCGCTATATCCGAACTACAACAAACCTACGACTAACAGCAGCGTCCAAAGGTGGCACTGCACTCTAGATTATAACTTTGGCTATATCAAAAAATTATCAAAAATTCTCTACAATTAATTGGATGCTGGGAACTGGGTGTCCGGGGGGTCTAGAACTTGTTGTGCTCATTATGGGGATTATGGTGGTGATGATGGGCAGACTGGGTCTGGCTCTGGGCAGGCTGTAGCTGGAGCTGTTGTTGTTTCTTGTTGCCGCCACTGCTGGCGCGCGAGGATGAGGCCGATACCGACGAGGAGGCAGGTGTGTTGGCCGGCGTGCTCATGGCCTGGCCATGTCCGTGCCCGTTCCCCTGATGGCCGGGGCTGGCCTTTTTCCGTTTGGAGTAGTAGCAGAAGATGCAGAAGCCATTCTGCGGTGTGGTACATCAAATGTTTGTCGGACTGCGAGTAGCCGAAGAAGTGCGGTAACGCGATCCGGACCTGTAATAACCTCAGCGTCAGTGGGGAACAGTTGGAAATGTGTAAGTAGTAGAGTTCGACTCACCGTGAAATGCTGGAGGTGTAGTCCCGCACAGGTGTGCGTGCTTCCCTTCTCTGGTAGGCGCTGCTACCGGCAGCACTGCTGCTGCTGGTTGTTGGTGGCTCCAGCAGCGACATCGTCCGATGATCGTAGGGCCGGATGGAGCGTCGTCCCAGGGTGGCATAACCATCCAGGTGGCTGCTGCCGGCCGCACTGCTGCTGCTGGCAGTGGGCAGGCTGCCGTTCAGGGTGTAGGAGGAGCGGCGCTTGGGATTGTACGTGTTGTAGTAGCCACTGGCGATGGCTCCGTTGCTGGGACTCGAGCTGGAGGAGCTCTTGTATCGCATGGGCACGGAGCTGTAGTCGTGCACCTCGTACCTCTTGCTGAGGAACGAGGGCGAGGTGTTGCGTATGTCGTTGAGGCTCTTGCGCGGCTTGCTCGTGGCCCCACCCGACGACGAGGTGGAGTAGTCCAACGGCGAGCGGTACATGGGAGGCTTCAGCTCCGTGCCCACTGGGCTCAGCTTCAGGGGCCTGAAGAACTGCTGGGCAATGTCCGGGGAGTGGGCGCGCGGCTCCACCTCCGCCACATGCAACTTGTGGCTGGAGCGAGCCTTGACCGCCGCCTGCTGTTCCCTGTAGTAGTCCCGCACCGCCGAGGGACCCACGATGCTGCTGGTGCGACGCGGCTTCTTCTGCTCGTTGAAGCGGCTGTAGAAGCTCCGCCGCTTGATGCGATCGATGACGCTCTCGTTGGGATCGGAGCTCTCCGAGCAGCGCGTGGGCGACGAGAGCGAGGCCCGCGACAGGCGCGACACTGTGGGCGAGGGCGTCGCGTGCAGCATGTAGTTGTCCTCGGAGCAGATCGACCAGTTGTCAAAGTACAGCTCCGGCTCCTCGGTGGGCGACAGGAACGTCGAGGTGGAGGCGCAGTCATCCTGGTAGCTGCGCGAGTCCGAGGAGTAGTTGGCAATGTTCTCGAAGGAGGGCGTCAGCATCGGATTGTTCCGGTTGATCTCATGCGCCGACGAGGTGCGGTACCCCGACGTCTGCGAGCTGCAGTTGTTGTTCGTGTTCGTCGAGTTGTTGTTGGTGGCATTCTCCACGGACTGCTGGCTGGAGCTGTTGTTCGAGGAGGCGCTCTTCATGGCCCCCGGATAAGGTGGCAGATTCGAGTACAGTCCCAACCCGCCGTTGCCATTGATCAGCGCCGGATTGGTCTTGGATCCGCGGTAGCTGCTGCCACTTGTGGTGGTGGTGGCTGTAGTCACGGCGCTGGCCGCCCCACTCGCACCACTGGCCCCCTGGGCACTGGCCAGATCCAACATCAGACCTTTGCGCTTCTCCTTGATGCTCGGGGTGGTGCTGCTGCTGGCGCTGGTCGGCTTCATGGCCTGTCCCTGGTTCTGTCTGCAGTCCGGACAGGCCGTCTCGCAGTTGCAGTTCTCTTCGGTGGCGGCCTGGGCAATCGGCTTGGCCTTCACCACGTTCTGGTAGATGGGCGATGTCGGCAGCAAGGGATCCTGCTCCTCGCGCACCTGTCGCTCAATGTTGCTGGTGGATCGAGTGCTCCGCACACGCCTTTGTTCGCTGCTCTCCCGATCGAAGCGTCGCAGCAGTCCCCCGAACATCTTGTTGACGGCTCCACTCTGCTTCCCGGTGGCCCCGTCCGTGCCGACTCCGGCATGCAGCTCTTCCACGCTGGCCGCTCGCTTGGGACTCGCCCTCGAGCTGGACTGGGAGCGAGGCACAGAACGCTCCCGCAGCGAGCGCAGCATGCTATCGAAACGGGACCGTTTGTCCACTCGCTTGTCTTCGGCCGGCAGCTCGATTGATTTCTCAGCCTCCAGAGACTTTTTCTTGCGCAGTACCGTGGCCTTCTCGGGGGAGCTGCGCTCCTCCGGTGAGCCCTGCTTCTGGGTGCAGGCCAAGGCTGTCGACCCTCCGGATGTGGCCGTCTTCTTGTCCTTGCTCATGGCCGAGTCACGCAGCTTCTCGAACTTCTGGCCCAGGGCGTAGAGCAGGCCCTTGCTGGGCTTCTTCTCCGGCGACTTCTCCTTCGATTTGATCACGGGACTCGACTCCTTGGAGCTGTCTGCAGGTGTTGTTGTGGCCGTGGTGTTTGTGGTTGTTGTGGCTGAGGGCGACGTGGTGGGCGTCACTGGCGTTGGTGGCACCAGCTTGGATTTCTTGGACACTTTGATGATTTTCTTGATAGTCGTCGGCCGCGAGTCGCTTGAGGAAGAGGCCGTGTCCTTGGTATCGATCACGTTACTCATGGTGCCGGTGGGCGTGGCCGAAAGAGATTTCTCCTCCGACGTGGACTTGGAGCTGACGGGAGTGCCAGTGGCGGAGATATCTGCCGAGGCAGTTGGAGTCGCCTCCGCAATGGTGGGAATGGCCACCCCGCTCCGTGCGACCTTACGTAATTCCTTGGGCGTGGCCAGCTTGGTGGCTGGATAGCTCTTGGGACGCATTAGGCGGCTCTCCCGTGGCGCATTCTCCCCAGCCTGAGAGTCGTTGCCCACGGCTGATGGCAGCTTGCTCGGAAGCTTACTGGGCATTGCCGAGGCAGAAACCGAGGGTTCGGGCAGCTCCGTTCCAGACTTGAGGCTCAGACCGAGGTCCTTCATGGGGTAGGACTTGGGGCGCTTCAGCCGGGTCTCCTTGGGCGTAGAGGCAGGCACTGGCATCTCTGTGCCAGCTGTCTCCGTACTGGGCGTCTTCGGTTCGTCTGCCTTCCTAGACACCTTCTTGACTTTCCGTACCAGCGTAGTGGTTGTTGTTGTTGTCGTCGTTGAGAGCTTGGTGGCCTCCGCCTCGTTGGAGGCGACATCCTTGGGCTTCACCTTCTTCACCTTGCGGATGGTTGAGGTCTCCTCCGTCTTGTCAGTCTCTCCATCGGGAGTCTGGCCCTGCTCGTGTTGGGTGCGCACGGCGGAGAGAAGCTGCAGCTCTTGCAGAATCTTGTCCGCCAGCTCATGCTTGTCCAGATCGGTTTCCAGCTCACGTGGCCTGGAAACACTTCGTTGTCGCAGTCCCGAGCGCTTGCCTGAAGAGTCCTGTGCTGTCTGTCCTGTCTGTTGGGTGCCTTCGGGTGCATCTGGGAAAAGTTCCACGCTCTTGTTGCGCGTGTGACGCATCGATGACCTGACTGGTCCTGGCTCCAGTGTGGGCACCTCATCGGCTTGCTCCACGTTGGGCAGACTGTGCTTGCGCCGACGCAGATCCGCCTGCTCCATGCGATCGCTGGATTTCTCGCGTATGTCCCGCAACATGTTCTGCGTGTCGCGATCGCGGTCGCGTGGATCGTCGAAGAAGTCGGGCCGCAGAAAGCGTGAGATTCGGCGCTGCGAGGAGCGTCCGCGCAGGGAACTACTGCCCTCGCCCGGTGGCACGCTCGCCGGCAATGCACCGTTCGGCGGCGGCGACAGGCAGCCGCTTGGCGGACGCCCCAGGCCAGCGCTATAACGCTTTTCCGGCACCTCCTTCGTCGTCGTCGTTGTTGTCGCTCCATTGCTGGACTTGCTCAAGTAGGGGGAGTAGTACTTGTACTTGTCACTGATGTCGCTGGTGTAGGTGCTGCTGCAGAGCGAGGACTTGCCGTAGTCATCCCGACATACGCTGCTGCTGCGGCTCTTGCTGGTCGTAGTCGGCGTCGTTGCAGGCTGTACTCCCGCTCCAGTTGTCCCCTCCTGATTGGGCTGTGCCTGGGTCTGGGTCAGGGCCTGGCTCCGGCTCAGACTGCGTCGATAGATGGCAGTACTGGCCGCCGTTGTCTTGGGTGCATCTGTGAGGGGCTTGGGCTTGTACTCCTCCTCCGGCTGATCCGGCAAGTAGCCGCGGCCGCCGCTCTGACTGCGCTTGTAGGGCTTCGGGGTGTTGGCGCTGCTGGGGGCACTGGTCTGCACGCTCAGGGTGCGGGACAGCTTGCGGGCCTGGGTGGGCGGCAGCTTGGCCAGCAGCTGTTCCTGAAAGCACTTGGGCAGTCCCGGCGTGATGCTGGACAGCGTTTCGAGATCCTTCTTGCTCAGCCGCAGCCGCGAGAGATCCAGGTCGGCCAGGTCCAGAGGCTCCTCAGCGGTGACGGCTGCCGCTGGGGTTGTCGCTGTTGTTGGGGCCGTCTTCTCCACATGGGCCGGCGCCGAGCTGGGCTTGCTGGAGCTGCCCTTGCCCTGGTGGTGACCTGTGGGGAGATTGAAAGAGTGGAAGGCACATAGATGAACATCGATGGCACTTGTCCGCCGGCAGACTGATAGAACGATTTAGTGGCTTCGATTAGTGATTCACTTACTTGCCGGGCGATGGATATCGAGTGTTAGGGGACTACTTACAGTGGATCCATCGATTCAGCGGTTCGGAGGCCCAGTGATCTGTAAACGTTTTGTGTCTTGTTTTGGCAACCAAAAGAACTCTTTATCGGCGGACTAGATTCGAACAAAGAACAAACAAACTTGCAGGAACGAATTACAACAAGGATTAGGACACGTGCAGGACACAAGCTGGCCAATAACAACAAACGCTCAACAATTTGAATGTCATGTTTTATTTTCGCTGTGTATAAAAATAGTTTCATATGTTGTTTGGAATGTTTCTGGGGGTGTAAGTGTGTAAGTGTTTAGTTCTTTTTTTTTAGTATAATGGCTTAATTGGTAGACTTGAAGCTCTGGAATGCTTTTCTTGAGTTGGATTCAGTTAGGTCGAGCAAAATGACTGGAATGCGGGCCCTGCTCTCTGGAGCAGTGCTTCAAACGATTGTCTAATATTTAAAATTATACAATAGTTAAAGAAAATAAATCACAAAGTGTCGCGTGTCTACATTATGAAACTGGAATGATTCGATAGGTGAAAAGATCAAATTGTTCAAATGTTATCCAAAAATATATATGTATAATACAATTCACAATCGTTTCTGGCAATTCCGATTGCTGGCGTTCGGCACTTTAATTAAAAGTTTTCCCTATGCCGTTGGCTCTCCAAAATGAAATACAAACAATTTTGTTAAACAATAAACAAATGTGTAAATCGAATTGGGTAACACAAAAGAGTTTGAACAATTTCAGCCAGGTCAGGTTCTGGTTCCACCAGAACACACCCACTGCAAAGCTCTCGACAGCTGCACCCACTAGCACCCAAACCACCCATCCACCCACAGGGCCGGCAATTGGCAGAGCAGAGCAGAGCAGGGCTGTGCTGCTGCCATAGCTTTATGGCTTCTTGGGGCTTCTTGTGGTTGCTGTGGCGGTGGGACTGCGGATGATGGTGCTAGTGGCGGTGCTCTTGCTGCTGCTGCTGATGGCTTTGGCCCGCTGGGGTGTTGCAGTGGCTGTTGCTTGGATGGTGGCCTGGATGGTGGTGGCTGCTTGTCTGATTTGCTGCTGCCGGTTGCTGCCGCCGCAGTTGTTGCTGGAGGTGGTGGTGGTTATGGTTAGCTTCGACGGAGTACTGGCCCCGGCCCCGGCCACGGCAACCGTCGTGGCAATTATGGCGGGATGCGTTTTGGTAGCTGTGGCTGTGGCTGTGGCAGTGGCAGTGGCAGTGGTGACGGTACTGAACGGACTCTGGTTAATGGTTATAACATGCTTTGTGGGCGTGGTAGTAGTTAAAGTAGTTAAACCAACTGCAAACGAAAGTAAGTACGAAATTGTGTGTAAACGGCCAATAATAAAATTATCACTCAAAATAATTAGGTTGTTTTATGTGGCGCTCTACAGTTCTACGGTTACGATATGCATCGCCTAAGGACTAAGGCTAGTTGGATGATCATGAGATTGGGTGGGTTAAGGCTGGTGGTTCTAGGGATTGGTTCTACGGAATGATGATGAACGAAACAAGTTCGATTAGTAGCTGAGATCATTTTCAATTCTGTACAGTATTATCGTATTCAAAGTTTTGGACATTTTTTCTTCGACATTTGTTGATTACAACGATTGTTACTTCTTTTTTTTTTATATATTTTATTTGTATTTTCAAGATCGTTTTTCATGGCGCTCTGTTTCACATCGATTATTATTTACATATTGGAAAAAAAAGCCCAGAACTCAGAAATTTGTTTTTGGTTTTCTGTTTTTTCAACACAGATTGTTTTAGAGCCAAGTTAGTGGTTGGTTTTTGGTCTAGCAGCTTGTTGGCTTGTTGGCTTGTTGGCTTGTTGGCTTGTTGGCTTGCTGGCGGTTTTTAACAGCGTGGACAGGTGGACAGTGTAGACTACATTGAGAAGCTTTTTGAGTGGTTTTTTTTTTGGCTTTTGGTGCGCATGGGGTGTGTATGTGTGTGTGCGTGTGAGGCTTAGTGATGTTAAACAAATTAATTTCTTGTACAACACAAATTGTTTTTGGTTTAATTTCGGTTTCTTAATTTTTGGGTTTAATCTTGTTTGTAACTAATAAAAAAACACATTAAAAACGAAGAAGAAAACTTTGGGAAACTCAACTTGAAACTTGGATTTTCGTTTTTGGTTTTTGGTTTTCGATTTTATTATTTATTTTTTTGTGTGTGTGTGTGTGTGTGTGGGTGTTGTGGGGTTAGCGCATTAGAAAAGTTTCTAGTTTCTAGTTTGCTTGTTGTTGTTTTTTTTTTTTTTTTTTTTGAGGGGTGTATGATGGGGAGTAGGAGTACGAGTATATATATAACTGGTAAAACTAAAACAAATTTAAGGTAGCGGGGCCATTTGCATAAGAAAAGAACTGTACAACAATTAATTTTCCAAAGGAAATATACGAGAGTATTTTCATAAAAATTCTTTTGGTTGCGAAAACATAATCTCTGTGGTCGCACACCACACAAACAAATCCAATAATAACAACGAAAAAAAAAAACAAAAAACAAAATAATTTCGTTTTGTTTTTGTTTGTTTTTTGCGGTTGCAAAAGAATGCAATGCAATCTTTATTGTCCTCTAGATGGTTCTCACTGCAAAATGTAGTAAATTTATTAGGTGTTTTGTTGTTTCATTTGCTTTAGTTTATTTGATGGTCGTTAAGATTAAGTACAATTTCCTCATCCATCCATCCATTAACAATTTCCTTCTCTTCGAATAACATTTGGGTCTGATGGTGGAGGGGGGGGGGGACACTTGGTACAGAGGATATCGAGTATATACGTATATCCTTGAGCGTGTCAATATATTCTAACAGGTATACAGAACTTTGAATACGATTTCATTTCACATTATTGACTTGACACAAATTTGTTTCTTTTCTTTGAATAGTTTGTAGTTTGTTTGTAGCTTCATTTTCATCATCATTGCATGAGAGAGCGGTACATAATAATAATAATAATAATTGAAAGGCAAATCATAAAAGGTGGGCGGGGCGGATAGGGCAAATCATAAGTGGTGCGAGAACGATTAGGGGCACGTCTTGGGGTGCGGGGGGCTTTGGTTCGGTTCTTGTTGAGCAATAAATACGAGTACGGGGTATGTAATTGTGGGCTACACAGAAACCAATCGTTCGAAAAGCATCAGCGGCATTAGGGGTTAATAACAAAAAAAGACTTGTGCTCTAGGACAGACAGCAGATAGAGATATAGATAAAGATATATTTCACTGGATAGAGCGATAGATAGATAGATATATAGTAGAATTATGCTATTAAAAACTGTGCGCGCACACAAAACAGAAACTAATAAAAAAAAATAATAAATATATATGTGATGTATATATTCATATCATTTCCAACAGAATTAAATTTTTGTCATTGTTTAAGTATTAATTGGCATTTTCATTTGATAATTACAGTAGACACTTAATTAATAATTATTGTGTTGTTTTTGTGTGTGTTTCATTGCTGTTGTTGTTGGTTTTTTTTTTTTAAACTGGTTTTGAGGGGATTTCAGGCTGCACAATATATGGTACTGTTTTACGATTTACGGTTTAGACTATATAGAGATAAGGTAATTTTCACTTGATCTGTATTCAATTTGTTTTCGTTTAGCAAACATCAAAAAACTACTAGAAATATATATACGAATATGTAAATGTAGATATAGATATATTGTAGATGTAGGCATAGGTAGATTGAAATTGAAATAAACTCTTATTTATGTAGCAGAACATTTTCTATAGATTTGTCTGATGTCTGGACAGCCAGTTTCTGAATCAGAATTCAGATTTTTCATTTCCCTTTTTTTTTTTTGATATTTGTTTTTTTTTTTTTCTGTTTTTCGGTTTACTTTTCCTGTTGCGACTGTCTCCACTACTGATCTAGGTATTTACTCTTTAATCTGTGATATTCACCTCTTGGCAAAGTGGCGCCGGTGCGCGAGAACATCGATTCCATGTCGCTGCCCAGGTCCCGGGACATGCTGTGCCGCCAGGGGGCACCCAGGCCTCCGCTGTTGCTGCCACTGTTCAGGCGGCTGTTGGGGAAGAGAGAGAGAAAACGAATGTCAAACTGGTGCACCATCAGCCCCTTCTTCCCACCTAGAGGACGACACAGTCGAGACGAACGTACAGCCGAGGGACTTGCACATTACATGGGATGGACCAACTTACAGGCAGCATTTTTGGCCGCCCGGCCACGACGCCAGCCACCGGCGTAGCCGTCCCGCCGTAATGTTCAAGGCCCCCAGCCAGCGCTCCCCGCACCTGAAAGCAGGAGCAGGTGTGACAACAGCCAAATATTATTTTGTATGGATTGCGGTTTAATGGTGTACAGCAGGAGATGGCATTTGGGCGGCAGCCTACAGTGCGTTTCATAATAATAATAATAGCACAATCCATAGACATCAGCGATTACACTCAGAGAAAAATACACTGGATTCAAAATATTTACAATTCGATTTACCACCGGGCCACGACGACGATCTCCGTCTCGTTTGCTCACAAAAATACCCTCGATGGAGTACGATTTATCTAGAATTTACGTGAAGAAACTTTTGTGATCTTTGCCCACATAAAATAGTTTTTTATGAGGATTTGTTGCCACATTTTCTACAGGAAATTTTAGACCATTTTTCGTTTAAAAAATTGTAGAAAATAATGCAATTATGTCATGCTTATAAAAATTACCCAATCTTATAGAAAATGTATCAAATATTTTACTTTTGAAAAATACGATGGAAAAGCTCTTAAAACTGCTGTGCCTTAACTTTCTATATATTTAAGTAACACTTTCTTTTGTTAAGTCCGAAACTTTAGGCTCTGAATAAAATATTGGGCGACGATAATTATATCTCATATTTTAATTAAATATTTTTATATTTAAAATAAATATATTTCATATTTAAATTAAATATATGCCTAATATTTTCTTCAAATTTTGTAAATTTTTGTTTTATATTATATTATATAATTTATATAAATATTTTATATTATATTTTATATTTATTTTCAAGTGTTTTATATTCAAATTGAATATATAATTCAAATATTTATGGCTGTGTCTTTTTCTCTGAGTGCACTCACACTCACACTCGCCCCCCTTTTGGGTTCTGTAACGCACTGTAGTAGCTGCCAGCATAGGGTTCTGGTTTTGGTTCTGGTGCGAGTTCTTGTTCTGGTGGTACTTACACTTGCTTCTTCTCGACCGTCTCGCTATAGCTACTCGTATAACTAACTTGGGATCTATGCACGCTTCGTGAGTGATGGGTTAAAGCATTGATTGGTGGATGTTGGATTTGTTATTGTTAGATGGGAGGTAAGTGGCAAGGCAGCATGTAAGAAATGGATAACAAAATTAGCAATGTTTGAGTGGTGTAAAAGCACTAGATCCCATCATATCCATGGGTCATGGTCGTGGTGTCCGCTGGAGTACTGCCGCAGGAGTGGACTCTTAATCAAATCACTTTCGACTGTGACGACTCCAACGGAAGGAAATGTAATGAAATTATTAACTGCAGCCACGCTGGGACACGTTTGCATAAGCTGCAATGGCAGTCTGACTGGCAGACTGATTGACTGACGGACTGTCTGTTTGAATGTCTGGCTGGCTGGATGGGTGGCAATCAACTTTGGATGCCACTCGCTCGGACGGCACTCACCTGGCAAAGGGTGAGACTCCCTGGCTCCAGAATGGACTGTGGCTCTGTGCCTGCCGCGAGATGTCCGTGAGCAGGCGACTAGAATGGCTGGGGAAACCGACTGTCAGGTCGCTGTTGACGTTGAGGCGATTCGTTAAGTTTCGCACCTGCAATATTCACAAAATTATGAAGTCCAGCGCCCAGAGACGTAAAGTAATGTATATTAAAGCCTTGTCCTAGAGTCTTACCCGCTGCAGCAGTGTCGAGAACAGATTCTCCGCCGTGAGTATCTCAAAGCCATCATCGTCGTCATCATCCTCTTCGTTAGAGCTTTGCGAGTCGTTGTCCTGACTAATTTTCTTGACAGGTCTTGAGCTTCTGCGGGTGTGTTACAAAGAGAGAAGTTGGGAGATGGTAAGATGATGAAAATAACTGAATCAAAAGGCAGCCAGGGTGGGGAGTGCACAGGGGAGTGGGGAGGAGGGAAGGCTGACTGATTCAATCCGGCAATCCAGTTACGTATTCATGCCATGGGTGGGCGGATTGGGCGGATTGGTCGATTGGGCCACAACCTTTGGTTTAGACTAAGCGAAAAGGATGCTGGCAAACCTGAGTCGGTGTGGGGTGAAGCGTGCCTCCTCATCGGCCCCGGGCCCGGCTCCGGCGCCGTCACGTGTTATGGAGGTGGTGCGCATCTTCTGGAATGGCGAACCCTCATCGAAGCCGGCCTCGCTGAGCAGGGAGCTGTGTGCAAAATTGAATTCATTCAAGCGCAAGTTGCACCCAAGGTTTGATGGCAAAACTTTTACCCAATGCGACGCGACGGACGCAGTCGGCTAAAGGTGGACCGACTGGAGGCGGTGGTGTGACTCGATTCGGATGGCTCGATGCTGCGCTCTCGGGGCGTGATGAAGCCACCGCCCTCGACGGCAATCGGTATGATAAATTCACGTGGACTCTTCTTGATGGGCTGGGAGGTGCCCAGTCCTGTCACGGTTGCCTGTGACATATTTGTGGCCGTGGTGGTGGTCGCATCCGATTCGGATTCGACCGTCGACTGGCGTGACAGTGAGCCGGAACTGCAGGAGGTTGTAAGACACGCAAATACTTTTATAGCATCTTTCGAATATTCATGGCAACTGTTTCATCCCGCTTACCGCGTGGTTGTGTTGGAGCTGGTGCGTCCGTAGGCGTGCTGCGTGGGTGGTCGCTGGATGGTGATGACATGCTCCTTGGGCTCCAGGCTGGTCGCTCGCGCCTGCAGCGTCGTCTTGATGGGGCTGTACGGTATGGGGCCTTCGCGCGGCGGGGCGCTGCGCAGATCGGCCACCGGATGCTGCATCTCGGTGCTGAAGCGCATGGCCGGCTGTGGTGCCTGCTCTGGTATGCGCGGCTTGATCTCCAGCTGCACCTCCGACTTGGCATTGATCTTCCGGCGCGGCAGAGTGGCCGACTTGAGGGTAATTGAGGCTGTGGAGGTCTTGACGGCCCCGGGTGTGCCCGGCTGTCCATCGGCTCCGGGCGAAGCTGCAGATTAGAGAGAATCTCGGATTAGTTGTGGGCTCCACGGGCGGATGAAAGAGTGAGTGGTGGAGTGTCGGGGTGTGGTGCAACAGCAACGAGTAAGCAATGAAGCATAAGTGAACAGTAACAGAAATAGAAACAGAAACAAACAATCAGTTGGGTTAAAGAGAGTTCATGTACTACATTGTTGGGGGTTAATTAACAGCGGCAGAGGCACAGGCAGAGGCATAGTCAGGAGGCACTGGCACAGCGGCTACAGATACCGTCCTACAATCATTGGTTGGAAATTGAAAGATAGAACACAACGAGCACGAACAACAACAGCAGCAGCAACAACAACAACAACAACGACAACGAGAACAACAACCAGAACAAACAACGTCTAAAAAAAGAGCCACAAGGTATCGGGTTTGGGTTCGGCCACAAAAAAAAAACAAGGTAGAGGAAAGCAGAGCCCGGACTACAGAGTCCTGAGTGAGAAGAGAGACTACCAAGCCGGGATTGTTATCACACTGATTAGACAGGGATTTCCCAGCCACAAATGGGCAGATCCTAGCCGTGGGAAATCCATCAGCCCAACCAGTGTGGCCATACAGCAGGAAGGGAAAACAAATAAAGATTCGAGGAACGCAACGGGAACACAGAGCGGGAATAGGAACAGGAAACGGAAACGGATTGAGTGGATTGCTGGGCACACACACACACACACGCATAGCATAGGAATGGGGGTCTGGGTTCTCCATCGGTCTGGTTTGGTGGGGATGTTCGTTGGCTTTTTTGGAGACCGCCGCCAAGACTTACATTTCAGCCACATGGCCGCGGGCATGGCAGATGTACTACTGGCATTGGTATTGAGTGTGTCTTGAGCTTGATTATGAAATGGTCTCGTGCGCGAACTGACATTGTAATTGACATTAGGCATCGTGTTGCAATTGCTGTTGCTGCTGTTGTTGCCGCTGTTGCCGCCTCTGTTGACGCCGCTGCTGTTGGCTTGCTGGGCAAATTGTGGCAATGGCTGCGGCGCGAACATGGCACCCGATCCTCGCTGCTGTTCCTGCTGGTACTTTTGTTGCAGCATCCTGAATGGACTGCTGTTCGCAGGCTGGAAGATGCTCGCCGAGCTGTACGCCGCCTGGGGCTGCCATGTGGCCGGCCGCTTCGATGTTGCCGATGATTTGCCGGGCAGTCCACTACCAAAGAGCCGCTGCTGTATGGTCTGCTTGGCCGCCGCCAAGGCATTGGGTGAGATCAGCACTGGCGGCGCTGTCTGTGGGCCACATATCGGCGGCGAAGGCGTCAGATAGCCCATAAAATTACTGCCACTTTCTCCGCGTATCGGTGCACTGTTGGGCCCACTCACGCCCACGCGACTGCCACTGCCACCGCCCAAGCCATTGCCATTGCCATTGCCGTTGCCGATGCCACAAAACGGTGCCGGCCTGCGTATCACTAAAATTAAGATGATGAGTCAATGAATATGAGGAGGCATGTATGTGGGTGGTTGGGTAGCTGGACAGACACAGGTGAGACTCCATGAGTACGATAATGAGTGGTAAAATAAATGATAATTGACTGGGTTGAAGGGGAATTTTGCTTTGGATTTTCTCTTAGCTGGGATTCGCTTTGATGGAGAGACAGACAGAGAGAGAGAGAGAGAGTGAGTGAGTGAGAGCAGAAGATTATATTCGAAAAGCCAGATATAATCCATGCAGCACTCCGCTTGCAAAACGTTTACATACACATTGAAAATCGAAAGAAAACAAGACGATGGACTGGAGGTTGGAGTCGAGCGCACAAGTCGTGGATCGATAGGCATAATAGACTATCTGGTAATCAGTAAAAAGTTATTCTAAACCTATTCCTCCCTTTGCTAGACAAAACAAAAAAAAAGACATGCACACGACATGTATTTTGTTGTTGGATTCTAAAGCACTTTTCGCTGGTGCGTCTGCCTGGGTTATCGAAGAATAAATATCGCAGTAATGTGCCCATTCAAAAGTACAAAAAGGCAACAAGGAGCCTATCCATAAACTCCATAAAACTGACAATGAAAGGGCTAACATTTGCTTCTGACTTCAGAGCTCTATATATATCTCGCCACTGATGGACTTCGCTTCGACTTGTGCTCGCGACTCAACACCAGATTCACACTTAATGCTAAGAAATGTTGAATGTAGTAATGCTAAGGTGGTGCTAGTAGTCAACTTTAAAGCGCTGCAGGGTTTAGCTTAACTAAAGTACGACTGTCATTATCGAGAGTATAATCTCTGGCAGGAGGCACATGCAGAGTCTTGGCCACTCACCTGGCTGGATGGCGTTTCCGATGATGGTGCGCGCGTTCTTCAACTTACGCTCGCGCTCCTCCCTGGTGGGCGTGGGCTCGCTGACGCCGATCGTCTCCGTTTGGGCGCACAGCTGGTCGACCTCCTTGTTGGACTCGTTCTGGGCCTGCAGCAGCAGGGCTATCGAGTTCTCCATCGAACGGCGGGCCTCGTCCAGCGAGATCGAGGTCACCGAGTTCTTCGAGTCGCTGGCCTCCAGGGACTGCGACTGGGCATGCACCACGGGCGAGGCTGGCGGCGTGACCAGGGGCTGGGACTCGGCCTCCTGGGCAGCAGCCGCCGCAGCGGCCACCTGCTCCTGGGCGCGCAGCTCGCCGGGCGTGGGTCCTGCCGTGGCTGGCGGATTGGTGGCCTTGCGCTCGAACTCCTTCTTGAAGCTGCCCACACTGACGCCGGGTATGCTGAGCTTCTTGGGCTTCTCGGGCGCCGCCTGGCCTCCTGGTCCTGTCGTGATGGGTGGCGCCGGCTGGAACTTCTCCGCCGTCTCCAGGATGCGCGACTTGCGGCGCTCGGCATTGAACTTGTTCAGCGTCGACTCATCCTGCAGGCTGCACTTGCGCACGAATGGAGGCGCAGTCGCTGCTGTTGGCGCCACCTTGCCGCTGGCCGTGTTGGCACTCTCGTTGATGGCGTTGACCAGGTCGGCGGTCTTGTGCTTGTTCACAAACTTCTTGATCACCTTGGTGGCATCCTTCTCCTCGGGCGTCTCGGCCACGGCGTCTAGTTTGCCGCGCGTCGGCTGCCGGGCCACAGGCACTGGTGCAGCCGCGGTGGCAGCCGGTGCTGGCGTGGGTGCGGGCGTCGGTGTGGGTGTGGGCGTGCCAGAGGCATCTCCCCCCATCAGCTGCTCGCACAGGTCGCCCACCATCTGCATGTCCTTCTGCGAGAAGCTCGGCTCCATCGGCTTCCCCTCGGGCACAGTCTCCGCCTCCATAAGCGTCGGTGGTGCGGGTGCTGGTCGCATGGGCTCAGTCGGTGGCGGTGCAAGTGGTTGTGGCGGTGCTGCTCCTGCGCTGATCACAAACGAATTGTTGGCCGGCTTCTCCTTCTTCTTGGCCGTGGTTCCTGCCGCATTCTCGGTGGAGACGGTGGGCTGCAGCTTCCGTTTGGTCTGCACGGGGCTCTGGGCGGGCGTGATGGTCCTTGTGGGCGATGGCATCAGGGCGGCCTCTCCGCCGGCTGGGAAAACAGAGACAGACAGACAGAGAGAGAGAGAGAGAGGAAGAGAGAGAGAGAGAAGGGTGGTGTGGTTTAATGAGTTTTGTGGTTAAATGACTTTAGTTTCAAGTGGTTTTTCGGGAGACGAGAGTGATGGGTCGTGTATGGTTTGTGGGAGTGGAGGTGTGGCAGGTGGGGCACGGGGCACGGGGCACCAGTTAGTGTGTGGTTGGGGGTGGTTGTGTGTGTGGCAAGTTAGTCTCCGTTTATATATACACAAGAAGAAGAATCTCAGCGTGGGTTTTCTCTTCGGGGGTTCTCTGACGGGGGAGCATTCAAGCGGAGCATCTGCGACTGACAGGCGATTGATGACGTCAACTCACCAGCAACCATGTCCAGGATGCGACGCTCTGCCTCCGTGTTGGGCGGTCCCATGTCGCGTATGGAGCCCACCGAATGGGAGCGGGGCACACGCTCGTTGGCCGCCGCCTTGGCCGCTGCGGCCGCCCCCTCGGCGGATGGCACCACCAGTTGGTCCGCCGTGATGGCCGCCGGCGTCAGCGAGAGCAGCACATCCAGACGCACGGGCGTCTGATTGGCCAGATCCTCGGCCAGGTCCAGGCACGAGACATTGTCGTTCTCGTTGACCCACCAATGGGCGCAGATCTGCTCGATGGTGGCCCGTTTCCGGGGGCACACCGTCAGCATGTCCCGGATGAGGGTGGAGGCGCGCGACGGCTTCCGCGGCTCATAGTAGTCGCCCTGGCTGATCTGCTTGACGAGTCTTTTGAAGTTGGAGCCATCGAAGGGCATGGACCCATAGACTAGAGTGTAGAGCAGCACTCCCAGCGACCAGCAGTCCACCTCCGGTCCCTGGTAGGGTGTGCCCTCGACGATTTCGGGCGATGCGTACAGCGGGGAGCCGCAGAAGGTGCCCAACAGTCGGCCAGCATCGAACACATTCGACAGCCCAAAGTCGGCAATCTGCAAAGGAATCGTCGAGTGGTTTACATTTCAATGATGGCCTCTCTCTCTCTCACCTTGGCATTGCCCTTCTCGTCCAGCAGTATATTCTCCAGCTTCAGATCCCGATGGCAGATCTTGTGCTTGTGACAGTAGTAGACGGCGGTGGCCACCTGCCGGAAGATGCGTCGCGCCTCCTCCTCGTTGAGGACCTTCCTCTCGGACAGGTAGTCGTAGAGCTCGCCGCCAGCGGCAAACTCCATGACCAGCACCATTTTCTCTCGATTCTCAAATACTAAACAAGGACATAGGATAATCAGAGGGCGGGCTTTGGTGGGTTATAGTTGGGTAATACCTTCATAGATGTGTATAATGTTGGGATGATGCACCGAACTCATGATCTGCACTTCGCGCCTGATGCGCACCAGATCGGCCTCTGCCTCGATTTTGCATTTCTTGATGGTTTTGATGGCCACCTCCTGGCCGGTTTCCTTATTAATACCTAACTGCACCTTGCCATAGGTGCCTTGACCTAGTTTCTTAATAATATCAAATCTGTAAGGGAATCAATGGATCATTAATACCAATTCTAGTCGTGGAGGAGTGGAGAGAACTCACCTTTGTCGCAGCTTCTTGCGGTGATTGTTCATGCGGACATTGCCCGTGTTGCCAATGCCGCTCATGATATTGTCTATTTGATCCTGTGGTATTCCCGAGGGATGTGCCAGACTATTGCCCCCGACATCCATTTCGGCGGCAGTCGCAGCCGCTGCCGCAACAGATCCGGTTGCCGCTCCATTGGACGCCGCTGATTTCGTTTCGGGTTTGCTTATCACCATGACTGTTGTGTGTGTGTGTGTGTGTGTGGCAGAAACTGGAGCTGGAACTGCAACTGGGGGCTAGGACTGGGGCTGGGTCTTCTGTCGAGGCTGCTCCACTAACAGCCGATGCAAATTACTGAAAGAGAGAGAGAGGGCAGGGTATCCCGTTAGCACAAATGTCAACTCGTGGGACTCCGGGGGCACACGGCGGGGTCTACACAGTCACACGGCACTCATCCATCAAACGTTCAATCAAATGGCCAATCAATTAATTATCCACGAAGCGCGACGCACACACACGATGGGGCGAATGCAGCTATTTCTCTTGCTGCCACTCCGGCTATCCGGCTATCCGGTTCTCCGGCTCTCGGGCTCTCGGGCTCTCTGGTTGTGTGGTTGCGCTTTTACCCTCGGTGCCGCCAAAAAAGAAGAGGAGGAGCTGCCGAAAAATCTGCACTCGACCTAGATTTTAATTATGCCCAAGCAAGGCGATCCGTATCCGGGGCTGTTCGAACGGTTTTTGTGACGGAGAGTCGTGGGAAAACATGAGTATGGACGGATGGCCTGCTGTTTGCCAGATAGTTTGATTTTATTTCTATTTTCCTAGTTGTTTTTCTTGGGGGAGTAAGTACAGGCAACAGGCAATACTCGTTTACGGGGACATAATCGTTCGAATCGAGGCACACGTGTGTCTCTCCTGCCTCTCGCACTCTCTAACAGAGTAGCTTAGCAGAAGCAGTACTATTTTTCATGAACAAATCTCCCTAGGATAGATCTAGGGAATAAAGAGAGAGAAAGAGATTGCGTGAGGCAGGGGAGTCACACTTGAAAACTCGCCCTTTACTGCTAAGCTACTCCGTGAGAGAAAGAAATAGATATAGGGAGGGAATGTTAAGCAACTCCGTGAGAAAGAAATAGAAAGAGAGAGAGAACCGTGAAGCAGGGGAGTCAGTCACAGGAAATGGTTTTCTATACACTTGGAAACCACTCCGTGAGAGATAGAGATAGGTACGCCACTCCGTAAGAGAGAGATAGAGAGATAGAATGCCAAGTTATTCCGTGTAAGAGAGGGAGAGAGAGAGAGAAAGAAGGGGTGAGGCAGGGGAGTCGGTCGCCCGGAAATTGGTTTCTTTACACCTGAAATTCCGTCCTTTACTGCTAAGCTACTCAGTGTGAGGGATAGAGAGGGAGAATGCTAAGCTACTCTGTGAGAGAGCAAAGGAGAGCGGGGAGTCAGTCACGGGAAATTGATTGCTTCCCAACGCTCCCTTTACTGCTAAGCTACTCCGTGAGGTAGATCTAGCGATAGAATGAGAGAGAGAAAGAATAATATATACTTCTGGCTGTTACAAAAACTAAATACCCCCATTGTAAAACCCAGCTCTTGCCTACAGCTTCTGTCCAAGACCGTCTCCGCCTGTATCCACCCCACCTATGTGAAGGTTAAAGGTTCTACATAATCTCGTACTCGTAGTCGTAGGCTAAAATGTTGCAGTAATTGCGTTGTTTGCTTTGGGGCCCATTAGGAATGTTTCAGTTATGCAAATATTGTATTCCGAATATAATCGAACAGATCTCTCAGGGTTCCACACTCTTGATGAGATGCCAAAAGCTGTCAGCGGCGACAGAAGTGTCCCCCCTTCGGAGGACAGCAAGCTATTCGAAATATTCATTGGGTGATATTTATCAACGATTTTTGACAGCTTTCTGGGAGTGAACGAGCACTAACTATTCGCAGGTTTATTCCGAACCGAGGAATATATATGTATATGTATATGTGTGGAGGGGGGGACGTTTATGCAATTTGGAACGTCACGGCCGGCTCCACGGTCCCCCGGTTGAAGGGTCCCCCGAGTGTCTGGGGCTTAAAGTGGTCACTTGTGCTGGGCTCCCTCCCATCCATCCTTCCTTTCGCCTTTCCATTGTATTGTCTGAATCCAGAATGCGACACTATTAGAGGACTAATCTATCAGCCTTGTGGATGAGCAGAGCATCCGCATCCGCATCCCTAGCACTCCCCAGAGCCATGGCTTAAGCGCGTTTTGTCTCTGACAGTTATGACCTAGAAGCCAGGAATAGGAATAGGAAAAGGGAATAGGGAATAGAGGAAGGACTCTAAAAGGCATGAAGACCCCAACAGATACAGATACAGATGCAGACACACAACACAAGAGATAGTTGAAAGCCACTCGAGGCGAGAGTCAAAGTCTCCCTCACGTTGCCACTGCCTCAGCCTCAGCCACTGGCACTGGCACTGTTCCAATTATAAATGTGCACTTGATGGATAGTAAATTAAAGTGTAACCACAACAGAACCAAACCGAACCGCCGCTCCCCTGCTCTGCCACACGAAGAGGAACCTGGCGAGAGCCATGTGCAGTGCTTGCCACGAGTCGTCGCCGCCACCACAACAATAACAATGCTGGGACTGCAATTGTATCTTTAAGATACGATTACACAAACGAATGCAGCACGCGTGCTGCTTCCACCGCTGTCGCACACACATAAATAAGTGAATCTTTACACGCAATTATTCCCCCTCTTTGCTTGATATATAGATACAAAGATAGATACCCCCTCTTTGCTTGATGTATAGATACAAAGATAGATAGACCCGTATATCTCGGGACTGGGGGATAGCCAAATCCACATCCAAAATCAAAATCAGGGCAACGAACAGTCTTTAAAGTGCGCTGAACCCGACGACCGGCACTGCCGATGCCCGTTCAATTCGCATCTGCAAGATACAATAACATTGTGCGGCGTCCAGCCTTGCTTTCCTTCTTCCCTTTCTCTTCTCTATCTTTTCTTTTTTGGCACTCAGACAGCACATGTCATTGAGCAGCAGCTAGGGGAACAACTAGCTATGTGGCACGAGGCACGAGGCACGGCGGCAGATAAACACCAGAAGCAGAAGCAGCAGCTGCCCCTTGCCCATCGTCTTGTGCCTCTCGAGTCTCGAGCAAAAGTTGTTGAAATATCTGCGCTTGCTTTTCCGTCAGTTTGGAATTTTCTTGCATCGTTGTCGTTTACGTAAAGGGAAAATATTTTCTTACCTATACCCTACACGGGGCGGGGAGAGGAGGGTATCAACGTTTTGAAGGCCTGTTGGCAATGGAAAGAGCCAAAGGCCAGCTACTCAGCCACTCTGTGAGAGGGAGAGGCGAGAAAGCTTCTAGCTTTAAATTTTCTTCAAATTTTGTATCTATTTAAATTCTCTCGATTGGTGAGGGTATCTCAACGCTCGGTCTTGCTTATTTTTATATGTTTTTAGCTCATTTTTTTTTCCTTAAGTTGGGATAAGGAATAGCAACAATAAATTCCAGCCAGATAGGCAATGTAAATATGCAAATGAAAATGTTTTTCTGGGTCAAGTCGAGCGCGACATTTTGGCCAAGAAATATTTCTGACAAGATCTCTCCTCTGTCTCTCTGTCTTTCTCTGGAATACGTATGATTTTTGGTACATATATTTTATATACGATTAAATTTGTGTCCAGCCTATGGCCCAGTGAACAGCAGACATCAATCCAGGCGATAAATGTGCCATATAATCGAGAATAATGGCATGAATTAATCAATGGCCATAAAACTGACGGATGAATCTGCTGTTCATCGAAAATGGAATCAATTCAATGCCATAATTGAATTTCAGCTTGAATCGTGCCCCACAGCTGTCGATAGAGAAGGCGGTTGGAGGACTGTCACTTGATTGTGTGTGTTTTTGTTTCGTGGCGACTCCCATGGAGGTCGAATGTGAACAGAAAGGGCAGGAATTCCCATGCAAAATGTTAAATTATTTGTATTTTAAGGGAATACCGCATACAAAATTGATATTCAAATGCGAGTAATCCAATTTGAATGTAATTGTTTGCGAAATTCAATGATTTTCCCCTTTGTTGATGTATTAATATTTTCTGTTTGGTCTTCAATTAAATACATTTAATGACAGTTGCGAGAAGGAAAAGCCTCAGGAAAGGGTCTCAGCATTGAGCATGATTAATGAACACTTTCCATAGAAATTAAGGATTATATTATCTTTCGTTTCATGGTATAATTGAACTTGAATTGTTCTAATTAACGCCTGAGAAATTTGTCTTCCAGTATTGAGGAAACTGCCAGCCTTCTTCATAAATTTCTATATAGAGCCTACGGCAGGATATCAACATCCTTACTTGTCAAAGTCCAAGAACTTTGGACGTGTTTCTAGGCAGCTGCGACATTGATTGGCGGAAGCTCCTGGGGGGAAGGCACCTTCGGAGCATCTGTTGGGTCGCTGATTGTTGCTTGGCTTTAATTTGAATCCCTATCTTCCTCTCGAATGACTTTGGTTCGCTCTACAAATTTACCATAAGCGAATGGACCTTAAGACGAACAGAAATATTTTTCGGGAGCGTTTCGGAATGTTCTGGGTGGGATTTTCGGGTTGGAAAACAACCCAGTGAAACCAAATACTAAATCGAATGCCTTTACAAAGGGAAATATATAACAAGGGGCGCCCCATGCTATTTATTTACCCCATAAATCATGTATTTTACAAGCAAACCTCCTAGCATGCAAAATACCTTGAAATATCATCAAATCATACCGAAATATATACATAATTCTATTTAGTCTCTTGACCACTTCATATATCACAGCAATTACAATAATTTATTATATTAGAATAAATATAAATTCAGTGTCAAAACAATTTCTATCTGTTCAAATTGAATAATTCAAGCAAAGCCGAAAATATAATGCATAAGAGAAGGAATTTCAGCCGTCTACTTGTCGAATAAATAATAAGCAAAAATATACATAAATATATATAAGCATATATGTATCTGTGTATTTGGCTGTCTCCTGTGGCAATTAAAGCCAAACGACGAGCAATTTCAAGTGTCAATAAGTCAGAGAAGTCATCTTTGGCGCCCATCTGCGTTCAATGTACGGGAAACACAATCCCAGACTCCCATCCAGAGACAAAGACAGACCAAAAGCCAACCCAAATCAACATCAGCATTAATTGCGTTAAAAAAAAGAAATCAGACAATTTATTGTTTTCTTGCCCCTCTTTCTATGAAAATATTTATGCAATTTATCAAAATGCGAGACCAAAAACGGAAAGGAGGCGCTGTGTCCTAGAGCTGTACAAG